GCCACCGAGATTGGTCTTGCCCCCTCCGAGGTCGAGCCTTATGGTGCTTACAAGGCCAAGGTCGACCTCAGCATCCTCAAGCGTCTTGACCACCGCCGCAACGGTCGCTATGTCGTTGTTACCGGCATCACCCCCACTCCTCTGGGTGAGGGCAAGTCCACCACCACTATGGGCCTGGCCCAGGCTCTTGGTGCTCACGTTGGTCGTTTAACTTTTGCCAACGTCCGCCAGCCCAGCCAGGGCCCCACATTCGGTATCAAAGGTGGTGCTGCTGGTGGTGGTTACAGCCAGGTCATCCCCATGGATGAGTTCAACCTTCACTTGACCGGTGATATCCATGCTATCACCGCCGCCAACAACCTTCTTGCTGCCGCCATCGATACCCGCATGTTTCATGAAAACACTCAGAAGGACGGTCCTCTTTACAGACGTCTAGTCCCTGCCAAGAACGGAAAGAGGGAGTTCCCTCCCATCATGTTCCGTCGCTTGAAGAAGCTGGACATTGAGAAGACAAACCCCGATGATCTCACCGAGGAGGAGATCGCCCGCTTTGCTCGTCTCGACATTGACCCCGAGACCATCACTTGGAAACGTGTTCTGGACGTGAACGACCGTCATCTGCGCGGCATTGTGGTCGGCAATGCTCCCACCGAGAAGGGCCACAAGCGTGACACTGGCTTCGACATTTCTGTTGCCAGTGAATGCATGGCTATTCTGGCCCTCAGCACCAGCCTTGCTGACATGCGTGAGCGTCTCGGCAGAATGGTTGTTGCCAGCTCCAAGAGCGGCGACCCCGTCACTGCTGATGACCTTGGTGTTGGCGGTGCCCTCACTGTCTTGATGAGAGATGCCATCAAGCCCAACCTCATGCAGACCTTGGAGGGTACCCCGGTCTTCGTTCACGCCGGTCCCTTCGCCAACATTAGCATTGGTAACAGCTCCATCTTGGCCGACAAGATGGCCCTCAAGCTTGCTGGTACGGAGCCCGATGAGGATTATGCTACCAAGTCTGGCTTTGTCGTTACTGAAGCCGGTTTCGACTTCACCATGGGTGGCGAGCGTTTCTTCAACATCAAGTGCCGTACCTCCGGCCTCATGCCTGACGTTGTCGTTGTTGTCGCTACCGTCCGTGCCCTCAAGGTTCACGGTGGTGGTCCTCCGATCTCGCCCGGTGCGCCGCTCAACCCCGTGTACAAGGAGGAGAACGTTGAGATCCTGCGCGCTGGTTGCGTCAACCTCGCCAAGCACATCCAAAACGCTCGCTCATATGGTGTCCCTGTCGTCGTTGCCATCAACAAGTTCTCGACTGATACCCAGGCCGAGATTGATGTTGTTCGTGAGGAGGCCATCAAGGCCGGTGCTGAGGACGCCGTGCTTGCCAACCACTGGGCCGAGGGTGGCAAGGGCGCTGTTGACCTCGCCAAGGCCGTCATTACCGCTAGCGAGAAGTCTAACCCCGAGACTCAAAAGCTTCTCTATGAGGTTGAGGGCAACACCGTCCAGGAGCGTATCGAGAAGATCGCCCGTGACATGTACGGTGCTGCCAACGTCGAGTTCAGCGAGCTCGCCCAGAAGAAGGTTGATACCTATACCCGCCAGGGCTTCGGCAACCTGCCTATCTGCATTGCCAAGACCCAGTACTCGCTCAGCCACGACCCCGATCTTAAGGGTGCCCCCACCGGCTTCACCGTCCCCATCAGGGATGTCCGTATGGCCGCTGGCGCTGGATATCTCTACGCCTTGGCCGCCGATATCCAGACTATTCCTGGTCTGCCTACGGCTCCTGGTTACTTCAACGTGGACGTTGATACTGAGACCGGTGAGATTCACGGTCTGTTCTAGATGCGTTAAGTTTAGTTGAAGCCATTTGTTTTTGCCTTGCAAATCTTTCTTGTTCGGTTCGCTCTAGAAACATCTATCTTTGCCTTGGCATATAAGTTTGGTGTTGCGGTTTGGGTATATAATGCATTCATGATCAACTCAAGGGTGCGGTAGAAGCCGGTTTTTGGTGTATGAGTACGCCAGTAGTCTCTGTTCTTGTCTTTTAACAACACACACGGAATGGCGGCGCTACGGTTTACGGATTCAAAAAGAAAAAGGGACGAGCCAATCTGGGGGCGTCGTCATGAGCATATGATATCACTATTCGTTTTTATAGATTTTCTACATCAAATAATAAACCAAGTTGAAGTCACCTTTTTGAACCATTCTTCCCTTTGAGCAATAATCCTGAACGTTCTTGCATGTAATACTTTCAATGCATTCAAAGACATTTCTTTAGGTTGCCCTGTGAGATGACTGATGGAGGTATGCTTACTTTTATTTCTCTTTTCGATTAATAACTATGTCTGTCTTTCTTCATCGTTCTGTGTTTTTTTCGTTCGTATGTATTTAGTCGTCCCGTTCATCATATATACGCATCGGTGTTGGCCATCTTTCGGTCGCGGCGAGTTCCTTGTAACCTTTTTAAAGTCAGTTTCTATCCTTTTTCTTATGGTGGTCATCAGTTCTGCACCTTGCATTCCACTTGTTAGCGACCTAAACAAGAAAAAGGGGAAAAAATGAAGATTGTGTAGTAATTCAGGCCAAAGGGGAAAATAGTTGTAGTAAGATACATGGGGTATGGCGTTGGTGCACGGTGTTGAAGACATACGAATATAAGAATGTTTGACAGTGGGAATATGATGAAAGTAATATTTAGGAAGCTGCATGACACAGTTCAAGTCTTTCTTTAATCAGATGGGTAGAGATGAAACGGGACAGAAAGTAAGTTAAGTAAGTAGAGATATCGTACGAAGGGGATAATATTATCTTTAAAAGCTCGAAAATAACATAAAGTAAAGCAATCGTAGTGTATGAAACATCTGAGATCATCTCCAAAAAGACATAGAAGTGTTTGTTCGGGAGTACCCATCCGTGGAGAAAACAGTGTCCTGACAACGTGCTGATGTCGCTGAGGTTGTTCGGTTTTGTCGGGTTTGAAGATGAGAAGAAGCAGTTGACGATATAGTAAAAACAAAATATTGTTGCTGAGCGTGAGCCAACGAAATGGCTGTGCGAANGATCGAGGTCGAATGTCCGTGTGAAACCTTGTCACAGGCGCTAAGAAGATGAATATACGAGACGTCGACAAGGTAAGGTTGGATAGATGCCATATCTTGATAAGATCCTAATATCTCGCCGTATTCCCTTCACGCAAATGTGATAAGCTTGAATCTCTTATACTATCCAAGTAGGTTGCTACAGGTACTACTTTAAGGTGTTGAGAGTTGGGAAGAGCCCTTGAGTCGATGTTGGCCGTTGTCGGTCAAAGATTTGACAGATTAACCAATTCAAGGCGGCCTAATCAGCGCGTAGTCGCGAGGTCGGACGGTTCGAAGTGAGATTGAGAGATGGTTGGAAAGTGTAAGTGTGCAGTGTTCAAGGCAGCTTGAACAAGAGGAATTCGAAAGAGCAGACGAAGAGGGGAAGCGAAAAAGATTCGTGGGAGGAGCTAAGTAAAGTGCTTTCTTTGCAAGAAGAGATGCCCTCATGGGGAGCTCCTTCCGCTTTAAACACAACCCCCATTACGATACCTCAAGAGCCAGAAGGCACCGTCAGCATCACCAACCGCACTCTATATCCCGTCCTACAGCTCATCTAGCAGTTGCGAGCACTGCTCCTATTTTTGTATTCTTGTGGCACGTCTCATGCCCTACGGGAGGCGGAAGTAGACGTTAAAAATAACAACAACAACAACAACAACAACAACAAAAAGGTCCAGACATTATGGCCGGTAGTTTCTCCACATTCTTCGAAGGTTTCAACTCAAGACAGTTTCTAGTGCGTCGTGGTACTCACCTTGTTAACCGAGTGACAACATGTGATAGGCAACCAGTGATGGCCTCACAGGTTGCCCATCAATCCATCAGGGTGGTGATGTGGAGAGCAAACGGGCTGATTTGCCTGTGTTGTGAACATCAGTTGCGAGCATGACTTTAACACGAAACAAATTCTCCGAGGGTACGGAAACAAACAAGAGTGTGATGCCAGTGCAGCCCACGGTGTTAGAACCGTTATTGAAATCGGGTTCAGGGGTGTTGCGGAACACTTTCCCAGTGTGCTGTAAGCCCCGAGCGGGGTCTACCGTCTCACAGGGTTTTCGGCGTTGCTCCAACCATTACCACCCCGTGCTGGGTACTGGATACCGGAACCAATCCGGTCGACGGTCGGCCCTGGATGAACAACTGGCCATAAAGTTCGTGACAATTTCTAGGGGCTACATATGCAGCTGGATTTGAACGGCTTTGCTTCTTACTGGTCAAGCGGTCCAGGTCGCATCATAGTGCTGTAACCCTGCCAGCATTTCATGCACGTCGAGCGGAAATTGGTATGTCCACTTCTTATTCACCTTCACAATGAGATGACCTCCAAGGTTAAGTCAAATTCCCAGTTTGTCTCCCATATAATTCCAACGCCAATAAAATATCCGGGGTTGGATTGTAAATTCGATATTAGCACACTCAAAATTACTAAAGGTCGACCTCTATTTGACTGTGTAACCGGCGTTTATGATGTTCGCCTTTCGCTTTGAAGATCCGGGTGCCGAGCAGATGTCAACTCAATGTGGAATGTCGCAGCGCGACTGACAAGGCGCTTGAGCCTTGGAACGGTGGATGCCTTTTATTGAGGCACTGTGCAGATGCGGAAGGCCAACCAGAAAGGGTTAGAGTCAGTCTCAATATCGGGTCTGGTCAAGCATTGTCGATCCAGGCTGGCTCAACTCCAGCGCTCAACCGCTCCTTCTCGTCCCTGAGGGGTACTCGGCACCTTGCATGAGCTGTCACATTGGGACCGACAGCGCCATGGAGACCGTCAAATGAACAGCGCAACATTTTACTTTGCAATTTTGGCACCAACTTCATAAGCAGGCGGCTCTGCCGCTCAAAACACATCTTGCCAATCTGATTTTCTTCCCACCCAAGCTCAGATTTCAGGCAGAAGACATCCCATATTCGGCCATGAGCTCTGAAGGAAAGGCTCAGTTGCCGACACCCGAGGCAGCTTCACCAAAGGGAGAGGCGAAGTCTCCCACCCCTGGTCCCGCGTCCCCGGTCCAAGCAACATCCCCTACTCCCGGTCCTGCGGCTCCAGGTACTGCAGCGCCTGGCCTTCTCTCTGGAGCTCACTGGGCTGATGTTGTACGTAAATATCCCAAGCCAGTCTCAAGGTTAACAGTCAACCCGTTTGATATTTAGAGGTACTGACGCAGTTGTCCTACTCCCTATAGGGACTTCCAGAAGAGGGCGCGGAGAACGACTGGGACTCAACCTTGGGGAATGATACCGAGAGCTCCACTGCATCAATCAGCTCGAGTATTCTCAAGTATCGAACTATTAATGGTCGTACTTATCACAGCGACAGTGTGACCGACGGAGAATACTGGTGAGACTTCTGCAAGACACGATGATGAAGACCAAGCGCCAGCGAATTCAGGAAATTTTGAACGCTAATGATCCTCTTATCATTTAGGGGTCCCAACGATGAGAAGCAGAATGAGATGTTGGACATCTCGTAAGTCCATTGTGGTTTTCACTATTGCTCGTCATCGTTATATTGAGTACTTATGCTCCTGTTTCTTTGCTCTAGCCACCATGTGATGACCCTTTTGCTTGACGGCAAGCTTTACACGGCCCCTATCACAGACAACCCTGAGAACATCATTGATATCGGCACTGGCACCGGTAAGTTCCCTCGAAACAAGTCTTGTTCGTTCCGGCAGTGATGCAGTGAAGTGGAAAGAAGCTTTGCTATCCCTCACTCAAAGTTCTTCTGTTACTACACCAATGCCAATACGCACACGCTCGTAGCTGCTACATATCTTCCAGTTCGATTTTCAAACCAGTGTATGACACTAATTAGGATGCAGGATTGTGGGCCATTGACATGGCCGACGAGTTTCCCGACTGCAATGTAATCGGTACAGATCTTTCGCCCAATCAACCTACTTGGGTACCTCCTAACCTTCGATTTGAAATTAATGACGCCTCTAAGGAGTGGACTTACCAACCCAATTTTTTTGATTTCATCCATATGCGTTGGCTTACTGGCGCTATTAGAGATTGGACTGCGGTGTACAAGGAGGCTTACCGGTGCCTGAAGCCTGGTGGTTGGATCGAGCATATGGATTCTTCTGGCGATGCTCTCTCACACGACAACTCCCTCGCCGATGACTCTGCTCTAAAGCAATGGGGCAAGATTTGGCAAGAAGGTGGAAAGCGACTTGGAAACCCAGTCGACCTGCTCCCGGCCAACTTGCAGGAGATTGGGATGAAGGAAGCCGGGTTCGTAAATATCACGAAGAAGGATTACCTGGTAAATTACGCCGATCCTTGCTTACCTACGAGACGCCTTAAAACTTATGTTTGAGACACAAGAGCTGATCAGTCATTGTTTCTTCTACAGATCCCGGCTTCACCTTGGCCCAAGGATGAAAAGCAGAAAGAACTTGGCCTTTACTTTTCTACGACGTGGACGGCAGACCTTGAGGGCGTATGCCAGTTTATGTTCGGGAACGTCATGGGCTGGGAGAAGGAGGAAATTTCCGCCTACTTCACTCACCTGAAGTCCGAACTCAAGGATACGAGTATACATGCATCTGTGATTTACCGCGTGGTCTACGCGCAGAAGCCGTTGGATGCTTGAGATGCGGTTGGGTAGGGAAACCTCGAACTTTTCTTTCTGTAATTAGTAGTAGTAGTAGTAGTAGTAGTAGTAGTAGTAGTAGTAGAGTAGTAGTAGTAGTAGTAGTAGTAGTAGTAGTAGTAGTAGTAGTAGTAGTATAACAACTGTTGAAGTTGACTTGCTTACTGCTCCTGGCGTCTGGGAGCTTATATCACAGGGAAACAGGTAGGAGGTGACATGACTGGTTGCACGGGAAGAGGTAGGGTGAGATCATGTATTACCGCTATCCGGGTATCTAGAAAGGCTTCATATGGTTATATGGGAGAGCCGGCTGGTAGCCATCTCTTCTCCTCTTAGAACCCTACAATATCGTGATAAACATCTGCCGAACGTCAAGAGGAGATGGTTGTGAGGCTTATGCCAAGGGCGGGTGGTTTAGACGAACCATTAGACGAACACAGCGCCCCGAACCGAAGCTTTGTCACACCTGTCATCGGTAACCGTTGGTTGAAATGTCTTGATATCATTTGAGGTTAGTCGATTAGCCCCGAGGAGGGAGGAGGGAAGGCGGGGAGTTGGGGTAGTTCTATCAGACGACAACAAAAGCATCTCGGCAGTAAAAGTAGACAGCGATCGTTATCTCGGGGACACAGCGAGTGTCGTCTGACAAAGCCTCTCCGTCTTCTCCGCAAGAAGCTTACGAGAACATGACAATTGACGTTTCAACGGTTGTCTTGTGTCAGTGGTTTCTCGGCAGTTGATCTGGGAGCCTAGTTTTTAACAACAAAAACAGGCTGAAGTAGGAAAAGAGACCAGTGAAAATGCACACCGTATGTGAAGAGAGAGTGAGGAGAACAGAACTGAAGGAGAAAGGAAGGAGTGCCTGTCCAATGGCCAGTCGAAGGAGACGAGAATAAGGAAAAGTGACAAGTGGAAAGTGGGGCAAGGAACCATTGCCGGCCGGAAATAATGCTAGACTGGAGACAGTTTATGCAGCACAGTGCCGCAGAGTCGCGCTGACGGTTCTAGGCAGGCGCCACTGTAAATCCGGGGGTGGGGAATTGACTTATCCTTTTGCGGCATAGGCCAAACTTAAATTCTTACTGTGTAACTCGTCGAACTTCTCTCCAAGCAGCTGGTCAGTTGATGCTTTCGAATCACCAAGTCATGCTGACCGAGCGATACTTCAGCTACCTGATGAATGTCCATCTCTGTGATCGGGTATTGTTACCGAGCTGGATAGTATTACTCCACAATGTGCGTCGGAATCCGGAAGAGCTGTGATGTTGGCTGGCACCGTTCGTCGGTTGTCGACAGTCATCCGATCAAGACTGCCACTGCGCAAGGGAAATCATTTTCCATCGGATGTTCTTTTAACATGTTGCCAACTCATTACTGCCCCAGACCCCCTATAAAGACCGTACCAAGAGGGCCAAAGACATTGGATGTTATGGTCCAGTCCTGCTCATCGACAGAACAAGCGCCATGAACACCGCTATCGAAATGTCAACGTCAGCCACATCAGCTCATATACCATCTGCTCTGATACGAACAACAATAAGGATATCTTCTTCTTCAACTAGCCTCCTAGTACATAGAACTAGTAGATACTACTCCCAACTTCCAACTTTCCACAGAGTGTCTTGTACAACAACTCCAACGTGTAAACCCGAACGTGTGTTTTATGTTTTACCATGGACGCCAAAACGCCAAGCAAATGCCAAGTACAACCGACGATTGATTCTTCTCCTTCACTTGCAGCATGTCGCTTTTCAATCAATCAATCAATCAATCAATCCAGTTCCAACCAGTCCAACCAGTCCTTCCAGTCCAATCAGTCAGTCAAGTCCCTTCAGATAATTAAACCTCAACAGCCTTCTTCGCAGCAGCCTTCTGCTTCCTCAACGTCGCTTTCCTGGTAGCAATCTCCTTGTCGAGCTTGTCGTCGTTGCTCTCGGGCAGAGCAGCGGCGGCCTTGGCCTTCTTGGCCTTCTTCGTCGGCCTGCTCTCGTCCTTGGCACCCTCCTCGGCCTTGTCCTCGGTCTCGTCGTCGGCAGCCTTGCGCTTCTTGCCAATGTTGGCCTTCTCGGGCTGCTCGGCGCCGTCGGCGATGACCTTGCTGTCGTCGAGCCAGAGCTCGTCGGTCTGGTAGATGGGGAGGGCCGCGGTCTCGGGACCCTTGAGGTAGAAACTCCTGACGTTGGACCACTTGTGGGGGACGAAGCGCTCGACGAGCTCGTTGATGACCTTCTCGACGTTGGCGGCGAGCTTCTCGGCGTCCCAGCTGGCATAGCCGACCTTGATGGCAGTGTTGGTAGAGGGGCTCAGCTAGAAAAATGTCGGTGTTAGTTTCATATGCAAAATGCACCTTGATGGATACTTAGTAAACATACCGAAACGAGCGCAGAACCAATGGCCTTGCGGATCTCAGCCACAATCTCTGGTGTAGGTCTAGCGTTGACGTTCTCGACGGGGTTGCGCTTGGGCTTGATACCCTTGGGCTGGGGTACCCTCTTGCCGTCAACCTTCTCTCTCTGCTTCATGAACACAACAGGAACGGGGCGCTTGGCGGTGCTCTTAAAGAAGGTCTTGCCAAGGTGCTTGGGGAGACGGTTGACAATTCTGTCGTCGGCAAGGAAGATGTCATGGTCGTTGAACAGCTGGCGCTGGGCCTCGTATGTCTTGAATTTGGCCTTGAGGTGGCTGACGTCGATGACGCGGGTGATGCGGTTGCGCAGCTCCTCCGGGAACTCCTCGGAGGCGACAACGTTCTTGTAGTGGCGCTGGGGGTCGGCGACGATGATGCAGATGGTAGACTCGTTATCGGCGTTCAAGGGGTTGGGAAGGACGATCTTGGAGGGTTGCAGACGGTTGGTGTCGGCGATGTGCTTCTTGGTGGTGAGAGTAAGCCAGATAGGGGTCTCGGCGACGGTCGACTCCTCATCGGCGAGAAGGTTCTTGGAAACGGCAGTAGAGGCGGCGGTGGCCTTCTTGATGTGGGCGAGGAGGGCCTTGGAGGCCTTGGAGATCTGTTGATTTGGAGGGTTAGCAAGTCGGGGTGAAAGCCAATTGCATTGGTGAAAAGATGACAAACCTGGTTAACGTCAACGGGAGAGACGACGGCGTCAGACGCCTTGACAATGGATGTGGACTTGGACATCTTCGCTGGCTGGGAGAGAAGATACAGTGGGGTGGGGTTGATGTGAGTTGAGACGGATCGCGATACAAGTCCCAGGTGTTTTTTCTCCCAGAGCGACAGAAGGCAACCCTCTGGAAATTTTGGGAGGTCGGTGCACTGACGCTTATTTTTTCCTGTTATAAGCTTATCGATAAGTAATCCCGGTAGCCGATAAGAGACGATAAGGCGCCGTCAGGGGCTAAATATGGAAAGTGGGTTCGCGGAATGTGGGGCACATGGTTGCCTGTGATTGTCTGGGCCTTGCGCTATGGCGGCAGACTGCAGCTGCTCTTCCACGCTGTTGGATCCGGAGCTTCGTTTTCTTTATCATCATCACATGCATCCCGTCGGTGTCTTCTTCAAACAGCACCAGCAGCAGACTGACTAGGTAACCAACTTTCATTTGGTTTGTAGATGCCTTTCCATCTACATTGCTACCACATACGCCAGGCCAGATACCTCGGGCAGTTGATCCTCCTCACTTCATCATTTGTTGCTCGAATTTCCAAGCCGTGGTATAACCTCTCGCTTTTACAGATGCTCCTACATGACGTCCCTCAAAATAGCTATCACTCCTCGACAGCACCTGGTGACCTCCACAGCAGGTCTCGACTCGAACATCTTCGTCCTCTTTCCTCCTCCTTCTCTTGGGGCCAAGGGGCAAAACCTACAACACAGACGCTGACACCTGATAAACATGTATATAAAATCGAACAAAAACGCCGCCCTGCGCTATGCGGCCCCCCCGAAGCATGCAAATACAGAGTTTTGGGAGACAGAATGTGCTCCTCATGACGTGTTAACATGGACAGTGAAAGGGGGCTTATGTCGACTTTTCTTCTTTGGCAGAAAACACAAACAGACATTCTCCGTGGCAGACGCCTTGACAACCAATAGCGAGACTAGGAGAATGTTACAATAGGGTATGGGTAGTGAGGGTAATGGTAGGGTGTTGGGGATGGGGTGGGTGTATGGTGTGTGCTGATGGGGGGATGTGATGTTGATAGGGCTGAGTGTGGTGATACAATCAGGGAGTGCGAGGCTTCTTCCAATAGTATTGCTGTTACAGGTGGACACGACATGTTAACCCGATTGATCTTGCATAGCAAACGGTAAGGCGGTAGAGAAGGAAAACGGCTTACCTTGTGCTGCTTGCGGCAGGCCCTTAAGCTAGGCTTCCGCAAGCCGTCCGTCACAGCCAGGCGACGATGCTCATCCGTGTCGAATTCGGGCACATAATAATATTCACTTTCGAGCGGCTTACCAGCAGCATCCTTGCCTTGGCGTTCGATAATGCCAATGCAAGCACTTGCCTCAATAAGCCTGCGCAATTCGTCCTTGGTCACCTGTCTCCGATCATCCGCAGGAAGGTTGTTCATAATAGACGACAACGGGGTGGACGACAATCTGGAGAAAGCGAGTTGGTTGATGACGTGGTTGGAAATGGTTGCTGTCAGTTCCTCGCTGAGGTTGCTGACGGGCGACGGAGAGCGAGGGACCAGGGCAGGAGAAGCCTGCCTAGCGGCACCTGCTGCATTCCCGCTTGACGATTTCAGAGGCTTCGGGGTGACACTACCAGCCCGCTCCTCCTCTGAGTTGTCACTGTAGTCGCGGTCGGGAGTACGGGCTCTTGGGGGTGAGGTGGCCGTGGTGAAAGATTCGAGACGGCTCGACAGGTTGTCGCCGCAGGGACCGAACGAGGGTATGATGGGATCATTCTCCTCATCCGGATCTTGTTCGGCGTAATCCTCATCTGATCTCGGATCACTCAGGTCACTCGAGATGGAAAAGCTTTGGTCGGCGCTGGTGATGAAGGTAGCATCCTCCCTGCCAGTATCTGTCAGCTTGGGCAACTCTTGCTCGTCCTCCTCTTCGCCCTCCTCTTCATCTTCATAGATTTCAACGGCGGCACCGTCATCATCGTTGTTGGACAGCAAGTCGTCGAGGTCAGCCTTTGAAGTCGATCCGTTGGCGGGCGTGGGCGACTCGGGGCTGCGGATATGCCTCGGTCGTCGAATGGGACTGCCCTCGTCCGAGTCGGAGCCTGGTCGCCGGCCACGTCGCATTGGCCTTGGTGTCTCATCCCACGATGAATCGCTCAAAGGGGCTGACGAATCCCGATCCTTCTCCCGCGGTGGCCACTGTACGAGGACCCTGGTGTCGTGGACATCGATCATGATCTCCGCACCCTCAGTTTCCGAAGTGAAGGAATCGCCCTTTGCCAACTCCCATGTCTGCCCTTGACAATGCAGCTTTAACCCGTTCCAACCCGTGCACGTAATCTCGACCTTGTTGGGCTCAAGCGCTTCGGTGGCGGGGATATATCGAGCGTGAACATGAACTCGGCTGACCAGTCTGTTCGATGAGAGTTGATAGTGAGACGAATTGCTGGACCTGCCCATGAGAAGAGTCTCTCCATTCTCATTCAAAACTACGGCGCGTACGTCGGAAAGGGGGGCGCGTTCCGACACGGTCGACAGCGTCCTTTGAAGGCCGGGACGGGGGACCATATATGGGGCGGCATATCCATAGTTAAATCCGGCGCGTGGAGGGCTTGACGAAAGGATGCCAGTACTAGAGGTCGGGATGGGCGTTGGGTATTTCAGAAAGGCATTGGACGTGGCCTGCCGCTTCGAGGGCCGAGGCAGACCTGGGGATGAGGACAAAGGCTCAAATGGCGGCAGCAGTGACGGGGCAGGGCGCTTGATGCCTGCTACCGAGGGCAGGGTTGGCTCCAGCCCGCTGGTGAACTTTGTTGCCGATGGCGATGAATCCATGTTGTGGTGATCCTGTCAGGTACTGATCATGACAATTGGCGGGACAGGATGAGCAATTGAACTCTAGGAGAGGGTGGTGGGAGCTTGGATGGGGATCTTGATGTGTGGCCCAGTATCTGAGGTGAGGTGAGGTCCAGATTGGAGAGGCGCTTCCAAGGTCGCGTTCTCCACGTCCAGATCGCGTCCGATGTGCGGTCTTTTCCCCCTCCGCTACAGCTGCCGTCCACTGCCGTCCAGCTGCCTACTTCCTGGCTTGGATTGGGCCACTAAGTCTCCTATCTCCGCGGTCTGTTTACCTGCAACAAGGGGAACAAGAAACGGGGTTGAAATAAAAAAGGAAGACAAAGCCAACTTAAGGGACGGGAATCGTCAAGGAACAAGCCAAAAGACGGGGTTCTGCGAATCAAGACAACGCTTTGCAAATCTGGCCTGTGGACTTCAGTTATGACCAGACAAGCGAAGCCAGGGCAGAGGAAATACTGTAGCCAAGGGAGGGTGGGGATGAGCAAAGTATTTAAAAAGGCGATATGCACCATCTGGATTTCGCGAAAGGCCGCGCCCGTGCCTGTGGGACCCATTCACCAAAAAAAGGAGCATGGGTGAGCGTGCCTAGCTTTTTTTGTCCGGACGACACCAACACAAGTTCCTTCCTGTTCGGTTTTGAGACGCGATCCATTGAGACGTGCCTGTGGTTCCATCCGTTGAAAACGCTGGCAGCAGCCTGTAAGCGGGCGTGCCAGTGCCTGTCGTGTCTGCCGTGTCAGACTGAACAGTGTTTGGATCGCGCTTTTGGCGTTGACTGGCACCCAGCGTGGGACATCTGAACCGCGCAGCAGGCATTTTGGGGGTCTGTCTGGCCTGGCAGCGGCTGTACAGCACTGTCATGCCACTGCTGGGCAGTCGATCAGTGGGAAGATACAGGGGAAGCACAGGCGAGCCGGGTTACGGAGGTCTAACGCCGGCCCATCGGGGGGTCGGGGAACATCTGCCCGCATACTCGGCACATTTTCCTTGCTCTCGGATACATCAACCTCCACTCGTTCCTCCTCGTTTGTCCAATATTGACCATTGTTTTCTTTCCTTGATATTCGCCGTTGTCGCGGTGAACATTCATCATCCATGGGGCGGAAAATCAAGGCCAATGGGCACTTGTTAGTCCACCCTTTCATGGATTTAAACAGTGGTAGATCGATCACTGAGAGTTCGTCCATTTGCCTATGACGTCTTTCCCTACTTCAACATTCAAATGTCCACGAAAGTTTCCCACGAACATGCTCGATTGTTTACTTTACGATTGCTCTCTCGGCAGTCGTATTCATCAAATTCGCGACCGATGGCGTTTTCACGAGCACCATCCGATTGAACAAGCTCGGATTGTGCAGAGCCTTCCTTGGCTTTTCACTTTCTGATAATGCAATGGCACCCAAACCCAATCTCTCCAATATTCGCATATCAGCTTGTTTCCTTCTCCCACGAACAATACATAAACGGGATAATGCGGAGGACTCCGTCTCCAAACAATAACTCACCAATCACCAACCACCTCTTACTTAAGGTCCGAGTCTGGCGCGTTCACACCGCGACGAAACGTGCAATGCTGAACTCCACCTCCGTCGTACCCGGTCAGCAGGTACCCCTCGATCCTCTTCGGTTATCGACCAAAGGGTTCCAGCCTTTTTTTGACATTGTCAGACGATGGATGGAATGGATGACCGCTTGGACAGACAGCAGCCTCCTTTTATCCATTCTATCATCTTGAATACACGAGCTCTTTTCACTTAAGTGCATTAAGACATCTGCCCTATTTCGTTGTATATAGTAGCGACTTCACCCTCTTTGCGAACTATTTCCCCTCACACAGAGGTATTGTCCTAGCCGAGACGCAAACCACAGCGCTCCTGATTCAAATCATGACTACTCGTATGTCGGCAATCTTCACCAAAGCCGTCTCGCTCAAATCTTCAGGAACGCATGCCATGGATTGTCTCAAGCGTTCTGTACCTTGCATTAGAATTGAAACCTACCAGACATGCTCTAGCCGGCACGGGATATTCTCTTCGTCATAGTCAGGGCGGATATCGATCCCTTACTTCGTAGCGATGCAAGCACTTAAACTGATGAAGAACAGCCGAGGTTCGCAGTTGCCATGGTGAACAGCGGTAGACCAATTTATAAGCTCCCAAGGCCAATACAATCCTACGCCCCCTTGCCATTATCATTATCCAATATTCATGACTCCAAACCCTGAAAGATGACCAAACTGTCCTGTAGCCAAACCCAAAGAAACTCCTAACAGAGACTGTTGTTAAATATAGGGGGTAGCCAGTCACCCCTCCAAGTCCCAGATGTAATATTCAACCAAAACAGTCCACCGCCATCAGAGGTCACCGCGCAGGAACGGCCTCGGGGCGCTCTTCTTGGCCTTCTTCAACGGCCCAAAGAACTCGGCAAACGTGTCGTTCAGCAACTGATCCGTAAGCTGCATATGATCGCCCGGCGTGGTGCGGAAGTGCAAGCCGCCCTTCTTGTCCAACTCGCGCAAGCCAATCCAGTCTTCCGAGTACATCCTCCTCGCGCGAAGGGGCGTAACCTCAGTGCCATTGACCTCGTCAAACCATGCCGTCTCCTTGGGCACCACCGTCGTATCGTCCTCGAACATGTACAGCACCAGGTTTTCCAAATTGGCCAAGTTCTCCTTGTACGTCTGGTTCTTGAACTTCCGCTCGTTGTTGATATCCGCCAAAAAGTTGGAGTGCTCCAGATATTGCTCGTACTCGTCCGGGTTGCGGTAGTATTGTGCTGGAACAAGCCGGCTCTGCACGAACTGCGACCAGGCGTTGCCTTTCAGAATAGCCATAGCGCCGCGGCAGACCCAGTCCGACCAGGGGCAGTCGCGGAAGGCGCTGATGCCGTTGTGTTGGGAGCCGAAGGTGACGAGGTTGCGCACGGGCGGGTTGTTGCACCGTTCGATGTAGCCGCGCAGGAACTGCCCTCCTTGGCTGAAGCCGAGGGCGTCGATGGCGGGCGCGGTCGAGAGAATCGGATGCGCGGCGATGTCGGCGCAGGCTTTGGCCACTTGTTCGGTCACGTTGCCTAGGAAGGTGGCGGAGCGGTCGCGGGACCCGTCATCGTCCATGCGGATAAAGTAGACGAGCGTGCCGGGGTTGATGGCGTCGGCGAGGTCGCCGACTTCGCGGAGGCCGGGGGCGGAGTAGCTGTCTCCTAGGCCTGCAAAGTAAAATGGTTAGATGCGAACGGTTGTTGGAACCAAGGCGTGTAAGTGTATCGATCGTACTTACCATGCCAGATGACCAGCGGCAGTGGTGTGTCGTCGATGTCGTCGTCGCTGCTGAGCGGCTTCTGTACGGGACTGGCCAGCGCGGCCGCGATAAGCGAGCCGCTGGTAAACAACAGCTTCAGCTGCTTGGAGATTGCCATTGTCGGTCTCGACAGTCTCAACGGCGGTCTATTGTTTTTGAAGTAAATTTGACACGAGTGACGAAACGTCCAGCAGATATGATAAAGAAGACCGCGTTAAGAAGCAGTTGATGTTCAGGCAGCTTGTTCGTCGTGGCGATGCGCCAGCACCGAAGCCACCACCGCTTGCAGCTTATCAGTTGCCGGATGCGCCGGCAGGCAGTTTAGCAGCGCAAGATTCGGCTAACAGTGGAGAGCTTTACGTTCTGAAGCTTCCCATTGGTCAGAACTATCTAGGATACCTCGCTGGCCTGCACGACATCGATGGGGCATGTCCCAACTTGGCTTCACTTCTCCAACAATCCAACTTTCTCCCCATCTTTCTCCATCTCCGCTGTGCTTTTCTTTTCTCACATCAAACTGTTCACTCAAGTTTGGAAATACTCATAATTTGGTCATGTCGTTTCCTATCGAGTCATCATCCCCTTTGGTCAAACTCGCGCTGTGTCTCCCCTCTCCTCCGAGCTCCCCTAATCCGTCATGATCACCACTAACGCCAGTCCAGTGATGGCCGTTGCACTCAATCCAGTCGCTCTTCCATCATTGCCTTGGAAACGCTGCAGTTTTGAGACAGGGAGAGGGTGATCTCCAACAGTGACTTCTCCTTTTCATGGATCGTATTATCGTTTAGAGGAAAGACTTCGTGGTTTGCATGACCGCCATTTTCTTTCCAACGGCCCACGATACTCAACCCGAACCCTTCTCTCTTCTCGGTGCTATTCAATATCCTCACATCCGCAGGCTGTTGTTCCACATCAACCACTTCCATCACCTCCACAGCATTGCCACCAGTACTCCTGCGGACGCTCCCAAGCACAATGTCCCTCTCACTCTCCGTCTCTGTCGGTATTTGCCGACTCCACGGGCCTCTTCTCCGGCCAGTCCCACCTCCTTGCTGTCCAGGCCATCTAGGTCGATGCGTCCCGGACCTGGGAACGTTCCGCTTCGCTCCAGCACCACCGCCATCACCGGCACAGCCATCGTTACTACCGCCAGGGGCACTGTCCAATCTGGGGAATGCCCTAATAAGCAACTGGCGCATAGCTGGCAAACAGGCGCAAATTACGGCGACGTGGTATTCCACGGCGGACCAAAGAATTATGGGATAGAAGCCCTGGGTTGCGTTGGCAGAGAGCTTGGAGGGGAGGAGAAAAGTAAGACGGATTATGGAGATCACTATGTCGCTGGGAGGATATTAGCAACCAACCCGGGTAAAAGGGTGAAGAAACCATGAGATGGTCCTAGGAGACCAGAGAGGAAGAGAAGAAACTTACAAAACTCCTACACACAACATCAACCCCACGGCCATCTTCTTCTTAAAATCCATGTTCAGTTTTTGGAGCTGCCATAGCGGGATGGCCATGATCCAGAAGTCGAGGGCGATGGTGATGGCCGCGGGCGTCCATGCGTACATATTGACCGTCTCGCCGGTTCTCGTTTGCTCGCTTTTCAGTGTTAGCACAATTAGTATCTTTTCCTTTTCCTTTTCCGTTTTTTTTCCTTCGTTAACTCCCTTTTTACAGGTCCATTCCCTGCTCACATATCCATCCCATAACCAGCAGCATCTCACCAACCTGTACATGCCACCATCACCCCCTCTCTCAACACCAAAAAAAGAAGGCAAAGAAAAGTATTATTCACCACTTCTCTTGATGCTCCCCATCCCATCCTCCCAAGCATACGCGGCATAACAATAATTGCCTATAGGCAAAAGAAGAAACACCCCAAAAAAGCACACCACTCCGACCGTGCACCACAGCAACCACCTCGTCCACTTGGACGACGCCCCAAAGATGCGCAGGTACATGAACAGAAACGACATCTTCACGTACGCGATGGTGGCCTCATAGTACTGAAGGAAGTAAGCAAAAAACACCCGGTAAAACTCGGTCATCTGCGGCGGCGTCAGCGTCCACCAATCCCTCCCCACACCGGCGCGAACTAGCATGCGAGCTATCAGAACGGTGTAGGAGATTCCGAGCGGGATACACAAAAAAGTGGCCCAGTCGTCTTACCCCAACCGGCCGGAGGGGTGGGTGAGAAGGCGGAAGGCGAGGCGGACTATGACGAAAAGGGGGGGTGTGATGCCGAAGGTGATGGTTAGGGCGACTAATCCGGAGGAGCGGTTGCGGGGAGTGTCGTGGCAGAGAGTGGCGGTGGTGTTGAGGGCTTTCATTAAGGGTCTGGGGAGGCAGGATCTTGGAAAGCAAGAAGTGACATTGGGGCGGTGGGAAGGATCTGGGGAGCAGAAGCAGGTGAGGATTGGGGAGGAGAGCTCGGCGGGGTCGAAGACTGGGATTGTTAAGGAGGATGATTCGGATGAGGGGGAAACAAAGCGGGGAGAGATGGCGCTGCATGAACGGAGTAGCTCTGTTAGGCAGTTGTGCTGGAAGGAGGAGGGCGTGTTAGATTGGTCTGTCACTCTTCTTGAAAGTAGTTGTGTGTGTGAGAGTCAGGGAACGGACTGATTCCCAAACCATAAATCCTAAAACTTACCGCACAACTAGGATACAATCCATGGATAGGCGATATACCCGCCGTATCGTTGGTACTGATATTCTGCCCTTCTGCCGTGTAAGGAAAGAAAAGAATCACCAATACCACAAGCCGAGTAAGAAGCCCTCCTCCAAGTGAGCGGTGGCAGGCCGAGGCCGACGAAAGATGGCACATATCTCTTTTCCCCTGAGGGGCCTCTTGGGCCCTTGAGACTGGAAGGTATAATTAGAAGAACAAAAAAGGGGACTGAGCCCAAAATCGAAGTCCAAGTTATAACCCAAAATGGAAGAAACAACGCTGGAAAGACTGGGTTAGTAGAGCTAGCAATGTGGCGAAACGGAAAAGAGGCTTATTTCCATGTGCTGCTGTGCCATTATGAAGAAAAAAAAAAAAAAAAAGAAGAAACGAACGACTGGGAAGAGCAAACGATTGAAAGAGAGCCATGGTTGAACAGGTCGTAACGAAAGGCATGGAGGTCATGACGTCGTAAAAGGAAGGTGTAGGTTGTTCATCCAGAAAGCATTAAAAGGTCTGCGTGTCGTGCCCCGTGAAAGTCGTACCAACTCGTATAGTATACCGCCGTGCGAGATAGATTTACCGCCAAATGCAAAAAAGAGTCCGTTGGCTTCCTCACATCCTCTCTCTGGAAAAGTGAGCAATTGTGCCAAACCCTCAAAAGAAGAAATCAACAAGACCAAACCCAGCACCTATCCCCGCTCCCCAAAAATGACCCATTAGTAACTCCGACTCGCCCCATTACACCAACACTCACTCCCCAAATGTCCCTAACATGGATTATCGTATTCTTTCGTGTATGTGCGTGTGTCCTGATAGCCATACTTTTCCCTTACACCCATTAACATTAAAACCATGGTTTATCGTTCTTTTCCCCATCCTCCTCTAGTCTCCTGAGTACCCCGATGGCTTCCACGTAGAGCTTATTCTTGCTCCCGATACAGTCACTCTCCAGTCGACGGCGCACCAGCGAGACAACGCTCATCGACTCACAACGGCTTCTCGCCCGCATGACCTCTTCTTTGGTGATGTCGTCCGCAGCCACCTTGCGCAGCCAAGTTATAGCGTGCTGATCGGCTGCCACTGAACTTCCACGCCTAGAGGTAGAACTGGCCCTGTCATTGCTTGTTCGTCGACGCTTGGCTGGATGCTGCTGTTGCTGCTGTTGCTGCACGTCTGTAGCAGTGGTAATCGTAGAACCAGTGGCAGGGACCGACCGGGCTTTGTGGCCGAAAGCCCAGACTATTAAGGCACAGACGTACAGAGCCCAGTAGTCGGAGATATCCTTTCCCCAGAGCGATGATCGATCTCCTGTTCCTGTACCTTCGACTGGCGCATACCGGGAGACACCCAGTGACACGGAACTCAAGAACTGCATAATCGAGCGGGCGGCGTACATTGTTGCCTTCACCACGTTAAGGTCGGCGGCATCCGCAGGTGTGCTGACGTTGCCGCTTGAACGATGGTGATGGTGCTCTGCCCAGGCTTTCAGGCCCCTTAAGTGACTGGCAAAATTTGCGGCTGGAAAGACTTTCTTGGTGAATAACCACGAATCGCCGCTGACAGCGAGAAGATCATGAAGCGGAGTGTGATGCAGTGCGAGGTAGGTATTGGCAATGGGACAACCGGGGAAAAGGCTGCTAAGACGTGTTTCCATCTCGAGCGACTCACAATTTCTTGAATGTGGAGACTGTAAGAAGTCGGGCAGGAAGCAAAGTGATTCCTGCTGCAGAGGGCTGAACTGGCTATCCATGTAGTGCAACTGGGGATCGACTTCGCTCGTTGACGACTTCCGAGCCGAGGCAGATGATGCGGTTAAGCCTTGCCTGTACGGGAATCGCAGAGATTCAGTCACAAGGATGATCATCCGATCGATGCCCATCTGTCTTGAAACAAATTCGGGTGTAATGGTCTCTGGCGAGGGTACAAAGACCGGGATGCCAGCCAAAGGGTCTTCGTGAAGGATTTTCGCCCATGAAGCTGCTGAAGAAGCCTCCCAAAGCCTCGAGCTGGAGCCCATAAGAGGAACTGGTGGGGGTGTCAGTTCCGAGTCCGCTGAGGATTGGCCTGCTTGCGGCTGCTGCTGATAGATGGCGGCGTGCCCGTCGAGGAAAAAGCATGCCGCCAAGAGGCGACGACGGGCCTCTGCATCGACCCAGTTGTTCCAGGATGTGTAAACCGGTAAGTGTTGATCCGAAGGAGAGGCAGTATAATTGAGCGTAGTTGGGTGATGGTACAAAACCTGTGGGTTGAAAGCACCCTGTAAGTATGTCTGTTCGCTGACCTGAAGCTGAGGCTGAGAAGGAAGAGAAAAATTTGGAGACTGGTGATGATTTGAAGTAAAATGAGACGACCAGAACCGTCTCTTCCGAGGCGGCTGGGCAGGCGTAAGAGGAGATGAGAGGGTATTAAGATTATCATTATAAGAAGAACTGAAAGGCGGAGAAACAATGCCAAGAGGAGAGGAGGTTGAAGATGACAAAGACGATGGGAAACTGCCGATGTGGGGAGGATTAAGAGAACTGAGGTGTCGCAGTGCAATAGAGGACATCATGTTTGAGGTGGCTGCCGTGGAAATAGGAGAGCAGTCTGAAGTGGCAGACAATGAACCAGGAGACCAGACACTGGGATCAGCGGTCCATGGCCCTTGAATGCTTTCGGGAGTTGAGAACGACGACACAGCAAGGAACTGTGAAGTACTCACCCTCTTGTAAAGGTCCTTAAACAAACTTGAGGGCCGTATAACGGCACTCTGTCCGCGGAATCGGGCGAAGTATTCGCAGAGAAAAATTGCCTGCATGACTTGAATATTCCACTGAAGTATCTATATTGACTCTAGCGTCAGTCAACATTCTCTTAAGTGACTAAGACCATGCCCAAAGGAGAAGGACTCCAAGCTGCCCGACTCACTTTCTTCACCTCCCTCCAAGCAAAATCGTGCATCTGACTGCCCTTGACACGATCCTGTTCGTTATCGAGGAGCTGAGTCGCCACCGCGGCCATAGCATACCGCAACACCTCTTCGGGGCGCTTTCGAAGGTAGCTCGATGTACTATTGGGAGCACAGGGTGAACTCTCTCCCAGTACACCTCAAGGTACTGCGCAACAGCGTCATGGAGTGGATTCATCAGCGACATAGGAAGAGTGGCCCCGGGGAATCCACACCCATTACTTATCGGCAAACCCAATGTAATCAAGTTTCCGTTCTCATAACCAACACCGTCGTTGCTGTAGCTGGGATCGGCTCTCACGGCGTCAAATATGCTGATATCCTCCAATGGGAATGGGACACCCGGCATACCATAGGAGGAGTCCAGTAAAGCATCTTTCTGAATCCGGGGGTCTAATCGGGGTCGAAGAGCGGTGGCAGATAATGCTAAAGTTTGTGTGTGAGAGGGCGTGTTCAAAGGCGGGGTTGAACTACGAACAGATGAAAACGAACCACCACGCTGGTGCTGGTGGTAAGAGCCCCGCGGTGAGCTCCCTCCAAGACCTACTCTAGAAGGCACAACGAGATGATCGTAGGGTCGCGGCTGCGAACCGGAGTGGTAAGATGACGAGGTTGCTAAACGGTGCGTGAAAGCATTTCCCGGTTGAATTTGATCCACAGCATTGGAACTCGGCGGGTACGGTTGCGGAAGGTTCGGAAAGGGTGTCACCACTGAACCTGGCCATATATCCGTACCAGAAACTGGAGTTGTTGAATAGCTTGAGGTGGTCGTTGTCGAAGGAGAATGACGCCAGTGTTCTGAACTAGGTACGTCTGCAATGGGTATTTCCACTCTTGGCTGTAGTGGAAGCGTTCTAGGTGGTTGAGGCGGCCAACTGATGTCCGGGGACGATGCATCCGGATTGTATTGAATTCCGGGGGAATAGTGAAATGGATCTTGAGCTCCGGGATAACCTGACTCTGGCTCCATTCTTGGTACAGCATCACTGGGTGGTGCTTTTCCGCGAGGATTTGAAGAGCCTGGTGATAGCCTACCAGATGGTATTTGGCCCGACCTTGGTGGTACCAATCCAATTGGTGGAGAGGGTGGACCGCGATGGTCACGTCTGTCGTCTGCTGGCATCGTTTGAAGCACTTTATCGCCTTCTTGCTCACTATAGATTTTATTAGAATCAATTATTGCTGCATGTCACTTCACAGGTCAGTACCTACTGTCTTTGCTGATGTCGAGCCAGCAAATCCGGCCGATGGAACGCCTTGTCGCAGTTGGGATATGGGCAACGGTACTCTGGGGGTCCATGCCCAAGTTGATGGCGCCTCAAATGCTCTGCCCTTGTAAAGGTCTGTTCAATTGTGTTAGTAGGCATTACATCACGCAATGGGAGTATGGAAGTTCTCTTGCCTTTGGTGGTCTACAGATGTCGCAAACATGAACCGGTATGCCTTTCTTTGCTCTGCTCACTCGGCCGGTGATAGGTGTAAGCCTCATGGGAAGCTCGGGGGTATGGGGTTGTGAAGGCATTGGCCTCATTGGCGTGTTCGACTGGTGGTAGTTGCCTCCCATTGACGATGAGGCTGATACATATCCCGTATGATCCGCCGAGTCATTGCTCGCTGTGCTAGGACGACGCATCGTGGACCTGTTATGAACAGCTGGTGGGGTCGAAGATGCAGCAAGGTTGACGTCTTTGAATGCCCAGCTAGTGCTTTGGTGCTTGGTCTGAGAAGTGGCAACAGCTAGGCTAATATCTCGAGACTGGATGGGTAGTCCTGAGCTACTGTCATATCTTGGGAGCGTGATGGGTGGTAACGTTGTCAGTGGTAGTGGTGGTAGCGGTGGTAGCTGAGTATGGGGAGGTGGTCCATAGGGATGGCCCGTGTTGGCTGGATGATTTGAGGCGACGTCCTTTTTATTAATGTGATGAGACTCAGTGCGGTCATCGTTGACATCCATTATGAGCTTGAGACTAGCCATTGTGGGCGGCAGTCTCAAATTTGGAAGTCAGATACCAAGTTAGTAATACACAGCCCGGTTTGAATGTCCGGGTTGAATATCCGCAAGAGCAGAGGTAGCAGTCAAAGAGGGAACTGAGGAAACGTCAAGTGAGATCCGGTAGGGCAGAACGTAGTACGTACAAGCGCGGCTGCAGCACGCGCGAAGAGGAGGCTTGATGGGTAGTATGTACGTGGGTAAGAGTGCAAAGACAGGAAACAAGCCCTCAGCCTTCCTCCGAGTAGAGAAGGGTCGCGTCGTTAGGCGATCCGAGTGGAGACATGTCGAGAGGCTGCGTACTAGGTACGGGCTCGCGGCACGTTGGAGGCGCTGCTATATCGAAATGGTCTTTGCACCGTACTGTGTAGACTTAGTTGGACTTGTGGTTGTGTACTGCGGCAGAGTAGCAACAGCGAGTTGTGTGAGTAAGAGACATACGTGAAGGCTAGAGTGTGTGGTAGTAACGAAAATGATGGGATACAAGGGAAAATCCATTGGTCTCGTCTTGGCCTACCTCGCAGAGGCTTGGTACCTGTTTCGGAGAGGCTGTTGCTGCGGCCAGGGGTCGGTCCCTGTCAGCTGGGGATGTGGATGTGTACAAGGGTCAGTGGGGAGGGTAGGACAGGGATATTTGGTGGGCGGAGAAGTTTGGGGGATGGGGGGAAGGGGATGGACGGAGGGTGGGATTTTTCTCGGCGTGGACATTGTACGTACAGAGCAGAGTAAACGCAAGTTACTTTCTAGAAGAGATCCCAAGATACTAAAGTCTTGGGCTGCTAACCCATAACATGATGTTTGCCGCGATGGCAAGCACACATGCGATAGACGCCATGGCGGCACCAATCAAGTGTCCTTAAGCCCACCAAGTCAGAGTGATAGTCGCGATAGACAAGCGCGCAGCTAGTCTAGGTACTGCAACCAGAAATGCGCATCAGCCAAACCTGATGCCAAAGCTCGCGAGAATCGTGCTCCGTCACGTAGCTTGTAGGCCGGCCCCCATGACGATGGGCGTTCATATGTGCGTACGCTGCTCAGCACGCGAAGAGATGAAGGGAAAGAAAATACCTGCTGCGAAGTGTCAGAAAGTGGCAATTACCCTCGTAGATTGAGCGATTTAGTTCTGTAGATGCAATTGCCTTATCTAGCTTTGTTTTCATACCTGTGTGTGCATAGATGCGATGAGTACCGCTGGGATGTCACAGTGTCGAACTGTTGGGCCATTTTACTATGTAGTATCTTGACTTGAGCTTTCGCTTCGCGTTGGTCACTGGCGGATTCCCCCTGCCCGCTACTCTGACAACGAGAGGCGCAGCTCTTCTTACCTGCAAGCCCGGCCAAACTGTAACACAAGCGCCTAAAATGGGGACAACTCCACGCACTCCCAAATGTTGTGTGACTGTCGACTTGTAGCGCTTTTAGATCTGTGATCAACATTCCTGGTATGATGTAGCTCTTTGTCCAAGGAAATAGCACCGAGAAGTCGTGAAGAATTGTATTCGGACGTCTTGAGAACACACAAGACGCGGACACTTTCTAGAATTCATGAAGAATACAACACCTAGAGTTGCGACCAGTAAAGAATCCAGGGCTGGCCCTCTCGGATCAGTTCTGGGAATAACGATGGTGAAAGAAAAAAGTTGAGCTGGGTGTGGTGATGGAGCGAAGTCGGCGTCTTAGCATGCCCTTCCACACAGCTTGTCAAACATGCCAGGCGGCGCTTGTTCCGCGTCTGTCGGCTCTTGAGTCCTCGAGAACATGGTACATATCGCGTTTTGCGTGCAGATGTGGAGTGCATTGCCCATAGTATGTGTAAGAGGCTCGGTCCGCTGTGGGCCAGGGGTAATTGCAAGGTTGGGATGATTTTGCTTTTCTTCAGTCTAACATCGAATACTCGAAAAGATGAGAGCTTGATCGATGGGACATGATGCAGTGCGTATCGTAGTAATTGCTGGCTGTGCTCGGATCCCGGATTCATGATATTCGTTTGAAACTCGTAGTCTGTAGTTCAGACGCGACTAAGCATCGTCCCATTTCGCTGATGAAGAATGACAGTGTGGGAGATGATGCAGAAAGATGGAGAGTATTGCAACATTGATGGGTGGTGGACGCGGACAAGGGGGTGAACGCCATCGTCGATCTCATTGGTGTGGCCGATCCCACCGTACACAGCCAGTCAGAAATCCTATTTTGAGGAATTCTCCATGCAAGTTTGCTTGGGTCGCGGCTCGGGAGCCAAGCTCAGTTGCTCAATCGCAGACCTTGCAAGTAGATGATAATTGATGATGGAGGATTCCGTTGACATGAAGGGCATACGTGCTTGCCTCCTGATGAGTTGCAGTCTTAATATGCCTTGGGGATTTGGTCGAGATTTCTGCAGGCATATGAAACCTCGGGACTTGCCTCCAAGGCACATCATCAACCCTTTCTGGGGGCCATGAGGCTCAACGAAGGAGGCTTCGGCTTCTGGCCCGGAAGCTGCCGAGCACTTGGACGGCTGAAGTTAAGGCTTGGGAGCCAACAGTTACGGGGGAAGCGGGGGGTGACCTCGGGAAGAATCCGAAACAACATTGAATTGTCTGCATGGGCACGACCTGAAACCCAGACCGGGTGGGCGTACAGAGTGGGAGTAAGGTCCATCAGCCTCGCATGCAAAGCAAACAAGCGAACGGATATAGCCAGGATCCATCTAATAACGGCTGAGCTTCAGCTGTGCTGTTGGCTGATGATGAGAGGGGCACGCTCGTGTGAGATGTTGACAGCTAAGGACTGAATAGCAATCTCAAACAACACCCACTAGCAGCTGCTGAGAGCAATTTAATCATGATATGGCACCATATCTCTCTCGGTGATGCTCGTTGGCACTTGAAAGAAGTTGTGACGAGCTGTCCAGCGCGCGTAAACCACAGTTCCTCATTCGCTGTCATGGGCCTCGAATGTTGCATGACGGGACTTGAAGAGGTGTTTGTTCTCGTGTCCGGGCATCTATGTACGCACGTGTATGGTTTGTGTACTGACCACATCAAGCGTTTAAAGACGAAACATCGATCCAAAGGCAGAGGCGGCGGACGTGCAGTGAGTGCTTGGCCGTCGGCTGGCGCGCCTAACATCCGCGATGGGTTTGACTTTGGTGGTCAAGCGCAGGTACGTCAGCTACACACAGTGCCCCACTAGGGACCTTGGATGTGGTGGTGATCCCGCATATCGGCATTGGGACCTGAAGTGGTGTGTAATGGAGGTGTGCAAGGTACGAGCAATGCGTGGTCGCGGTAGGTAGCCAGATGTGTCAAAATCTGATATGGACACTATCCAGGATTTTGTGTCGGTGCCAACTGGGTCAACCATACCGCGGTGGTCTTTGGTCTCGAGCCAGGTGGCAGTGCTGATGGTGTTGAGAGACGGTGCAAGCCACAGAGCCCATCAGGCGGCCATCAGGCGGCCAATCATGCTAGCAGGGACCGGAACTCGACGCGGGCCCGCGATGCTTGCTTGATGCTGGATAGGCATCGTTCCTAGATGTTTCTGAAAGTCAACGATTCGAGGATGAACACAAGGATTCGCTGTGGATACAATCATAGGTAGATCATTCACCAGCCTAGGAGGTGGATAGGACCGTCTTGACGGGCATGGTGACCCTGTCAAATGCGGGGCATCGGCATCCTCCAAGCTACAAGACAGTGATGAGTGGTCAAGACAGAATTGAGCTGCCTCGATTGGTGGTGGTTTTTGGCATTTGACTTTTGAAGCGAGCAAGGGCGATGGAATAGTTCGGCAGTGCTGCGCTTTGCGTTGCATTGGAGATGGATATATCGAGATGTTGCGGTGAGGTTAACAATTTCGAAGAATGGTTGAGGTCAGTCAAAGTGGTCAATGATGGAGGTCCTGTAGCATTCGAGGCTGGAAAGGTGCAAGCACACGACGCCCATCACTGAGTTCGCGAACTCGAACTTGAACGTACAATGCAACGGGATAAGGGCTTGCTTGCCCCGTCTGCGCACACAGACCACACACATGTTGGTGCCGGCTGGTAGAGCAACTGCAGAACACTATCAAATGCTTTACATGACTGGTCTGCTGCTTCCCTGTTAGCGGCTTCCTGGTGGTCTTGGCCGGCGCTTAAGGCGCTTTTATTTTTAGCATCCGGCTTGGCATCTCCAACTTCTCCAACACCCAACCCCACCACCTTCCCCCAAGCTACCCCACCCTTGACTACCATCCATCACACTTTCACTTCAACAGGTTGTTGCAGGACGATTCCTTCCAGTATTTTCCATTGAAGAGGCAGGAGATTCAGATGGATCTTTCCGTTACTATCCCATCTCAACATAACGGTCAGCATTCGAATGTTCTCCGCCTGCTTATCGTAGAGCAGTTACCCCCTCCGTTCATAACTCTTACCCTAGGACCGCAAAGGCTTTTTGAGGTCGCACAGCATCATACACGACCAACAGAGTCAGCGAGAGACCGACCTTTGCTCGGGACCGGGCGGAAGTTGATGCGCTCGATCTTAAGCCACGAGCCACGGGGAACGAGCCACAAGTTGCACGAAATCAGGCACGACAGGGTGACCATCCGGTAGGTTTTCCATGTGCCGCGTACACTGCCCTGCTTTCATTCTTTCCCTCGTCAGTGACTCCGTGACTCCGTATCACCGTCCATGGCTTCTCTACAAGTACAGTGCTTCTTCTCGAGTTCCATATTGCCTTGCAGATACGTACCGCTTGTCTTTAGGCCTGACTACCTAACAAAGACTATTCCCATGTTGACCTGACCGAACGCCAGCACTATAAAGCATTTTGGTTTGCACAAGTTGTGCTTAGAATAGTATCCAAGACATACTATCTCGGGACCAACGGTGCCAGCTGTTATTCGTTGTTCTCTATCCTGGACGTCCTTCCACTTCCGCGTCGGGACTTATCCTTCGTAGAAGGGGGCCATATCCCACCTTCTATGTCTCATTACATCTTTCTGTCCATTTGGACTTTACAGCTCGTCTCAGACTCTTAATTCCAGTCCAATCACACGGTGAGCTCTTTCTCAGCTCCACGATGCCGCCCCTGAACTCTCTCCTTTGCGGCGTCGTTATCGCGGGACGACCCGAAAGACAACGTGTTCAAGCGTATGTAATCTTGGCTGGTCACAGTTAAGGCCGCCGAACATGTGGAAATTGGTGCCGCGCGGAGCTGGAAACGGCTTTTAACTGTTGGTCATGCGAAAGATCAAGAAATTTTATTCAAGACTGGTTCATATCATATGCCTGGGGCCAAAGCATTCAGCTTGTTACAGGTTTTGGATCATAGAACATCATCGCACCCCCCCGGCTTTCTTACTATCGAATAATCCCCCGATCCAATGATTGCTCAAGTCGTCCTATCGAAGCCACTCCTCGCAGAATGCTATCCCAAGTGAGCTAGGAGTAGAACTGGTTCTATTTCTACATGGAAAATTCATACACACACTGCAGGATGAAAAAGGCCCGAAAAGCTTTCACTCATTCACTTACTCGGAGGATAAGCCGACTAAGCCAGTTTCCAAATCCATACTATTCTTGCACACCTACGCAGTAGTACACACCCCTGTGTTCCTGGTAGGGTGTTGTGGTACAGCGCGTGGTTCTTGCGCTAGGTGATACAAACCATCACAGCCACAGCCTTACCGAAGTCCTAAAGTCTGCTACTTCGCACCGTGTATACAACGAAGTACTTCGGGGTAGTAGAGGTGCAGCGGCCTTGTCTTAACACACAAGCTTCCATCGCATACGAGATGATGAACAACGCCAAGTATGAGAATCTTTCTTTTGCCTCGAATATGCATTCAGCTTTCAATTCCTAGCGTTAAATTGGGGAGGTTTCAGGTCTGAAGGGCCGTTGCATCCTAGATGTGAAACAAAGACGATCGGCAGATGAATAGATGGCAGATCACGATGTGTCACTTGAATCGAAGCTCGGCTGGGAGACAGGTTGACCAGGCTAGGGTAAATGTGCAATTGGTTCCATCAATGACAATCCTTGAAACTGGACAACTAATGCTCTGATATATCGAGCATCACAGTGATCCAATTAACTCACTCAAAATATTCCATAAACCATGAGAGCCAAACCAGGCGAACCCTTTTGTTCTGCAAGTCCGGTCTAGTCTAGCCTCGTTGGTTGAGAAATGCAAGGCAGAGTACATGCGAGCGGCCCATGGCACGACCGCCAGTTGTTGACGGCTATGCAGTCATTTTCGTGGTTGACTGAATCTCTGAAGGAATCAGCTTCGAGTCGTCTTTCCATTTTACCAGCGGGAGGCACGGCAGATAATCGGACGAAATGAATCTGGACTCCCCACCTGCGCCGCCGCGGCTTGCCCGCCCTTCATAAGTGACCAGTCCAAGCTGTATTGGCAGGACCTCCTCGGGACCAGGTAACTCAACTGGCCCCATTGAAGGGTCTCTTCAGTGTGCCGTACCCTTCCGGGCCGGTCCACGAAGAGGTCCCGCGTTCGACTCGGTTGCACGGCACAATTTCTTTCGAGCAAAAAGCTGGGATTTCGTGTGTCGCCAGACAAACGCAACGTATCTCAACTGTCAAGGTGCGAATTGAGGCATTGGTTCACACAAAAACAAGGCTTCATGACTCGGAAGCTTTCCCCGTTAACGTCCTTTGGTATGTATATGGAAACGTGAAGCTTGAGCCGTCCGCTTGTTTCGGGTGGGTGAGATGTTAGATGGCACACATCCACCCTCATAGGAGTCAAGGGCATAATATCCACGTGGTAAGGAAGATTGGCGGGTGATGAAGTAAGACTCAGTAGAAGATGACCGAGGTATCATTCTGTCCTCACGCTGAGAGGCGAGACTGGAGTGACCTTTTAGCATGGAATCCACGGTAGGATGCTCTGGAATCACATGTCAGCTGTGCGACAAAAGGTGGGCAGACTCTTTGTATAGATCAACAGAGCCAACGAAGGGATCCATGGACGAAGTCAGGCATCGAGTTTTCTGAACCGTAACAAAATTGGAAAGCAATGCAAAGAGTCAACAATACCTTCCAAGAGGCTGGTTATCTCACAGCATCAACAAAACGACAACTGTCGCTGATAATTAACGTAAACTTCAACCGCTAGACCAAAACAGTACTTCCCCATGCCACAAGCAAAATATCCCCCCGTGTGACTAGATGAGAGATTGTAGAGGTACCTAAGCTGTTCGGAGACTGAAAGATGAATGGGAGGTATCTAGATGTGCTTGCATGCCTACGCCCACCAGCGCCTATCTCCGCTCACACCAGAAGAAGATTCCCACGCGTGCCTCTGCCACACCCATCCGATGACTATCCACCAGGCAATGACTTGCATAAGCTCATCTCACCACGAGCAATGCGACGCCAAGCATTGACCCGCGGGGCGCCACCACCAGCAGCGGCCGCCGCGCTTAGCTGGACGAGTAAGAAAGAAGTGGAACCCAAACCTGGCTGGTGAGTAGTGACCGTAGAATGTGTATGCAGTATGTTGTGCAGGCGTTTATGGGTGAGTTGGCCCGCCAGTCAGGTCAAAAAGGCTAGAGGGAGGAGTGTCAAGCTGAACCCCTGCTGGCTAGTAGTACATGTGACGACAGTTGGTGGCTTACAAAGGGCGTCCGAGTTTCCTGATGGCAACCGATAACTTGGTACGTGATTCTCTATTAGAATGGTAAGAAGCGGGGGAAGCATATACTTACGAACAGTGGTCGGTTTGGTGAGTGGGAGTGGGAGGCATCAAGAACTGTGCCACTCGGGTGCTTGGAGTTCATTGGTGGTGACTGGCTGATTCCGAACAAGTCCTGACATTTGATATTCTCAAGAGATGAGTGGCTTTGAAGTCAAAGTCTGAAATCTCTTACTTGAACTCGTAGGCTCGTCTATGTATTTCTTTCAAGGACGAAATTAAACAATGATAACAGTTGTCAACATAAATTTGACCATAGGGGATACGAATGTTCCATGTGTAAGACTGATCATGTAAAAACAAATTAAAGTGATTGAAGGAGGGACGGTAACAGTCGTAGAGTTAGAGTTTACTATATACCTTACTAATTGCCGACTTTCTCGTCGTTTTTAAGGCAACTCTGCTCTGAAAATGGGACGCAGGTTACCTCGTAAGAAACCCTTTTAGGATACCCATCTCCCGCATATATCAGCCTGATGCTAAAGTGAAGAAGACGTGAAGAGAGAGGTGAAGAGAGAGGTGAAGAGAGAGATGAAGAGAGAGATGAAGAGAGATATAAAGAGAGATATAAAGAGAGATATAAAGAGATATAAAGAGAGAAGTGAGGAGGGAGTAAAGGGTGAGCGAAGAGAAGGTGGAGAGGAGGTGAAGAGAAAAGAAAGTTAGAGGGAATACGCGCGCATGGATACTCTTAATGACGATGCCTTACCTAGTTACATGTATACTTTCGGAGACAAAAACTGAACCTTTTAATAATGATTGAGTAAGACCGGGATAGCAATGGCCAAATAAGGATAGTACAGTTACCCTCCACCAACGAGGTAAGCTCAAGAAAACCATGCCAGGTAAGGAAAAAAGGAAAGAAAACCCCGGCACCCATTTTATTACACCCATTAACCTGCCCTGTGCCCTCCATCCCAACCCCAGCTCATTCAAGTTCTGTTTTGATTTTCGATCCTTCCCCATCCTATAATCATATTCAAAGAGACGCCCTCTAACCCAATATTCAACGTATCTCGTTTTTCCCTTAGACATGCCTCTAAGCACGGCTGGTAGAAGCCGAGGCCGAAGCCGTACCGGAGCCAGCCGGGACGTTGGACCTCTGCTTCTCGCTACTTCTCTTGTTGTCACCCTCTTCAGAGTCATCATCGCTGGGTGCCCGGCTACCGTCTTCCTGGTTCGGCCCCGGGTCCGGCTCATCTAAAAGGGACAGAGTCAGTCAAAGCACTCAACAAGCAGCGCCCAGTGAAACAAAGAACAGAACACTTACCCAAGATCGCACACCACCGACCAGCCCAAGGGTATAGCCCGTAATGAAATCGTTTACGTTTCCTGCCGCCTGCGCAGCAGCCTGTGTCGGGCTCTTGGGCGCCAAGTTGGAGGGACCAGCTTGCGCGGATCCTGAAGCCAGACCAAGAGGGCTGGGACTGGTAGCATTCGAAACATCGGCGCTGCTACCGCCGTTCTGCGCCATAGCCATCAACTGTGGAGGCAGTCGGGGGAACCCAGAAGGGCTTGGGCTCTGGGGCCGACTAGACGGCCAGAACTGGCGCAGCTCCTTGCTAAGCTCCTGTCCGGTCGTAGCCCAGTTGCTGCGGATATTGTCACGCAGATCCTGGATATGACGCTTCAGGTCAAGCTCGTTCTTCTTTAACCAGCTGACGTTGAGCTCTTGACGCGACGCGCCGCGCTTGAATTGACGGGCAATATACTTTTCATAATCGCGGACGATCCTACAGAGCAAGAAATATTGTCAGTACAGAGCCTGGAATGCGAGACATGGTATGACGGGTGAGGGATAACGAACTTGGTGATAATACCAGTGGTGCTGACACCCTCTGTCCGTTGCGTAACCAGGAACTTGCCAGCCGCCTTGATAGGCGCATAAATGTCGTCGCCCTCGTCAGCACCGTAGGGAATGTCGTCGTGGGCAACATAGTCAATCTTGTGTTCCTCTAGGAACTCTGGTGTGACAATCCAGGGGCAGTCCTCAATAACCTCATCCACCCACTTGCAATGCCGGACGGTCTCGGCACGCTCCTTGCCTGACAAAACGGTCAAGCCCTTGCGCTTGTGTGTATCCTCGTCGCCTGTCACGCCCACAAGGAGGTAAACTTCGGGGAAGGCCTTCTTTGCCTGCTCGAGCTGGCGCATGTGTCTGTGGTATCTGGTAGTTAGCAAGTGACTTTACAAGCGCTTTGAGGGCCTTCTTTTGTTGTCCTCGATCACATTGGAAGCCCAAGCTGCGTCAATTACCCGGCTCCGTGGGCATTGGTTTTCCTCCGTCTTTGATCGGCAAACAGTCCGCCACTAGGAAAAGGAGTGAACGTACCCAAGATGGAACAGATCGAAGACACCATCCGCATACACTCTGACTGGCCTCCCCACAGGAGGATCGTTCGTCTTGTATCCCACGGGATGGGTAAGCTTTCCAATGGGCGGTGGTGCCATTGCCGGGCCCTTGGATATTATTGGGTAGCCACCTGTCTCTCCGTCTTCGCTGCCATTGTTCTGACCGGCCGTGGCCTTGCGGCTGCTCTTGCGGGTGACTCTTTCGGCAATGTCATCGCTGGCTTCGGTGGTATCACTGGGCTCGCCGGGATCGATAGCCTGGGCCTGCTCTATCGCATCGGGGGCGGCGGCGGGAGCTTCTGAGGGCTGGTCGTCGTTGGAGCGCTGGCGCTTACTAGGCGGGTGGCTACTACTGGCAGAGCCGGTCTTTCTGTGACGTGAAGACTCGGCAGCGGTGGCATCGCCCTCTTCAGCCGAGGCGTCGCGGGACTCGGTCTGGATGAACTGGTCCTGGTTCATGATGGCGGCGTCGACGGGGTCGAGGTGTGCGGTATTGATGTTGGAGTTGGCAATGCTGTCCGCCGCGGCAGAGCTACGCTTGCGTTTCCCAGAAGCCTGAGGCGTCGACGGGTTCGGAGAAGGTGACATGGCGAGTGGATTGGGCGTAGAAAGAGAGAGAAAGAAGAGGGGGAAGGAGTTGATGAGTTGGGCCAGCCGGTACTAGAGGTCGGGCTAAGAAGTTATGGAGTGTGCAATGGAGCAATGGAGCAATGGAGCAATGTAGAAGGTACTGCAGTGCTAATTGTGGGCCCTGAGCTATACCCCTTCCAAAACAATTCCTGGTCAGAATCCCAGCAACGCCTTCTGTATCTTTATGGCGTCTGCAGGCAAAACGCGCTCAGATCAAGCTAGAGGCAGTGATGGCGACGTTTGAGGATCTGCAATTGAGATGAGGAGCGAAGTTGTCGTGCGAATGTGTCTTGTGGCGCACAGTTTGGTGTTTTAACGGCGCCGGGTCTCAGGCTTTCGGCCTGCAGGTGATTTGACGGGTTTGAAGGTACCAGGTACGAGCACTTCCACTTTCCAACAAAATATCGCCAGCTTCAAGAATGACGGCTGTTGTATCCCCGGGTGGCCTCTCTTTCTCTGTTCCTTGTTTTTCTCTTCTTTGCAATTCCGAAATGGTGGAAGACTTCGGGGCGTTTGATTGACGGAGAAGTCAATTGGCGCGATAATGGGATTGTTGCACGGGTGACTGTGACAAGTACTCTTTCAACTGTTGAATCCAATGACGGTTCCGAAATCTGGTCGGTCTGGCTTTGAAGAAAGAGTTGCTCTCTTTCACATGCGGCTAAGAAGAGGATAGGTATAGAGAAGACGTCAGAGGGCCCCTTTGCTTACTACCACACACCGGAGACGGCAAACAAGGGACTCGAACCACCGTATGGACGGGAGTGACAAATGGAACAGAAGCAGACACGGGAGGCTGTGAGACACTTGTTCACAGCTGAAGTTAGTTATCAACACAGAACAATCACTCAGCAACTGCACTTCCAGCAATCGCGGACTTACTACTCTGTTTCACAAATCAGATGTCCGTCCGGCTAAGCATCTCGGGAGAACAACATGCGCTTGCTCAACATTTCACGAAACTATTAACTAGCATCATCTTTCCCCGGTCGACTAGGCTTTGCGTTCCATTCTCATAGGGCACGCACTGCGCGCCTGAAGAAATAAGGATCATCTGCATATGATTCGGCGCCAGCGTCCCCTCAGTTGCGACGCTATTGCTGCGGTGACCTTCAAGTTTTTCCTCTCTTTGCTGGTCGGGATTCCACCAGGGGACAAGTCCCCGGCCGCTCGCTCTTCCTCCAACTAGTGTCCAAGTCTAGAGTATCGGGTGCTGTGTAGGGAAAGATAGCGATAGCTTCTTTGCCTCGAGCTGAGCGGCAAATCCTGTGTGAGCGGGAGGTTGTCCAAGTCAGGAGAAGCATAAAAATCATGGCACTAACAAGGGCAGCAATGGAAGTCCGGGGGCGGGAATGGGCCCACTGTTATAAATCACTAGAAAGCTCGCCTTGTCCGCAAACAGTGGGGGCCATGCCACCGGGAGCTGGAAACCGGAGTGCTTGTCGAGGCCGTTAGTGCAATTGGATGTGACCGCCCCGAATGGAACATGGGAACAAGCGAAGCGGCGGCAGTGGCAGCTGAAGGGAATTTTTTGTTGAATTGCAGGCATTCGCAAAGAGGGAATCACGTCATTGCTAACTGCCAAGCAAGGGCCAGACCACACCCTTTAACGCAATGGGCGACCTCAATCATTACTTTTGACTGGCGGTTCGTATCATGGTGTGGCTTGTGTCGACGATAAGACCACCACAACCACATTCATGATCGCCAAGGTGGCACATGCCGACATTCTGGTGCTCGTCCGTTTCATTCGAATATCCATTGGCGATGACGAGGTTGTCGGCAGCATCAAAACCAGTTCGGGGATACACCATTACTTGTGCGGTTCGGGCGGGCAGTGATGCTCCGATGGTCGGAACACCCGGCACGGGGATGAAAGGAGAGGTTCAGATAATGTCTGCTTCATTTATATGTTTCCAGAACATTTGTCATTGGGGGTTTGCATCCCTCCCCTGGTATCGCGAGCTTGTTCCCAATGGTCGCGTCTATGTATGTACGAGTAATTCCATTCCTTCGCGACTAGAAACGCTTTCGTTGTCGACTGTGATCGTGCTTCCAAAATGCCAAACCCAATGAGTACCTAATCATAGCCTCTTACTTGTAAATGCCAAACTGCCCAAAACGAGAAAACCTGGACACACTTGCTCATTGCAAAACCACCTTCGACTTCCGCACAAAGTGTCTCCCACACCGTGTCTTGTCGCCAGGCTTGCTCATATAGCAATATGACTTGGCACCCTCGGGCGCAATCGGCCCAAACTTCTCCCTGATGGAGCAGTACTCCATGTTTTCGCCCATCCACTCCTGGATGTGCTTATGCAGTTGGCACCGCGTGACGCCGCATTTTCTGCAGTATGCCTGGCCACGGACCCGGAGCTGCGACAGCGACAGAGACTTCTTGCTCTCCTCCTCGCTCTTCTCCTCCACCGGCGAGGATGGTGCCGATTTCCTGACCATGCCTGCGAGATGCCATGCCCACTCCAGTTCGTTTGGACCCTCCCGCCGCGTCCTGAGCGGAACGGTCCCGTGCATTCGCCGGTGGATCGCGTAGAAGTGCTTGTTGGTCAACCCGAAACAGGTGCTGTCGATAGGGTCGAGAAAATCGAAGATGGCCATGTGAAGTTCCGGTGGCAGATCGAGCAAGAGCTTGCCTGCTGATGGCACGGGCAATGGCAAACGATCTGTGACAGAGTAGGACCGACGAGGAGGGCCCAACGCAGGTCTGCGTTGTACTGTGACTGCCTTCTCTTCTGTCGGCTTGGCCTGGCTCCTCTCCTTCACGGACACGATCGGCAGCTTGACGAAATCTTCTTCGGGAAGCTGTTGGATGGTGTGGAGGGTAAAGAGGGGAGGTTGTGGGATGTGGTATTCCTGGAAGGTTTGAGACCGGCGTGGAACTCGCTTTCCTGACCGCATAAGACTCGTTTCCTTCCTCCTGTGATCCTCTCTGGTGAACGGCATGCCCGAACCCTGCGTAAGGGTTGGGGTGCTATAGAGAACCTCGATCATGGTGGTGATGGATGGTTAATCGGCACTTGACGTTGTCTCTCGATGGTAATTGTGGTCGTTGATATTATTGTCAGTATGTAGGCGTTTCGTGATAACAATCCCTCTTTGATGACGGTAGTCGTTGAGGGTATCGACGTGTATCACTTGTATCAAGTCGTAGTGGATGATGGAATGTTGGTTGATATAGATGGTGGCAATGATACCGGAGGATGGAGGTAGATGCAAAGCGGACTGGGCTGCTCTTTTAAACACTTCAGGTACCAATGCCGTCGGCCACAAGGAGATAATATACGGATCCCCTCACTAGCAAGCTCATGAGCAGGTGGAGGGTGGGATGGCGAGACGGGAGGGGGGGGTGATAGTCGTCGACGTGGTACAGATGGATCGATGTGCGGGCCGGGTTTCTGGGGAAATGTCTTGGGTGTGTAATCTAAGAGGTAGGTTGTAACCTGGACAAAGAAAGTGGGCAGGAACCAAGATTCCGGTGCGCTGAGTTGGAGGCGTAAAATGGAAAGAGGGCCAGAGTGGAAGGCGATGGCTGAACGCGGATTGGATTCCGATGGAGAAAGGGTGAGGTGAAACGGAAAGGAACTAACGGTAAGGTAGTCTGCAAAGGGGAAAGTCCAGGGCTCGTTTGTGGTACGGCGCTAGGAGAGCGGTGGAGGGGATCGTCACGAGGGCCAGACAGGCCTTTGCATGTCACTTTCACTCCGGTGTTGCCTTTTTCCTGGTTCCGTTGCGATCCGTTTCCGGACGCCTCTTTGGAACGGCCCGGTACGGTCGGAGTGCTTACTGCGTAGTGCACATTGCATTATCACGCTATCTGGATGCTTCCAAGTGCCGCCGCAGATCTTCTTGTCGTTGCTTCATGTTGTCTCTCAATCGCTACCATCCTCAGCCTGGTTGGGCCCTTGGTGGACTCCCGGTGGAGGTGAAGGCAAAGTAGGGTCTCAGGCATTGTGGGATTGTGGGTTCGAGTTGTATCAAAGATCACAACTGAAGAGAGAGCAAACCGGCAGTCGTTATTTGGTTCATCCCAATCTGGAGTAGGACCTGGCACCAAATGCACACTGCATTGACGTTTGCCCGAATGGGCATCAAAAAGCAGGACCAATTCACAACCACAGACGTCGTCCAGCCAGAAAAGGTAACCGACCAATCACAGAGCGTAGCGTGCGTGTAATCCAAGAAATTTATCGGTCTGCTATCATGCTTCAGAGTCATCAATCGATCGGCCAGAACATGTTGGAATCCTCGTGTTGCACTGCTAGGCTTTGCTAAGACCTGCTTTCCTGCAACCTTGTCCGGGATCGCAGGGGCCTGGTCCCGTCTTGGACTCTTGGGATTGAAACCTCAAAGGTGCATCTCTGTGTAGGGATGTGCTTGGATGACTTGGATGGAATTGCCTGGACTCTTGGTCTCTCCAAGTCGCGAATTGCAGCATGTTGACAGCTCTGACGGCACACCGGTTCCCCCCTTTGAGTTTCGCAGCCGTTGCCTTGTTCATACACTATTTCCGAGTCATGATGGATCGCGGACACTCGGTACCTTCTTTCTCCCATCTTCCGTTTTTCTTCGTCCGATGACTTGCATACCGGTGTTCCCATCTTTAACCTTGTCGCATGTCAACCTCTCTCAGACGAACATCTCCGAATCCGCTGGGCCAGATCGTACGTCGATGACACGACCGGATGATACCTATCATTCCAAAGCCAAGACGGTCGCTGACTATTTGACTTGCTTTATCCACTACCCCGCCTTCTTCTAATGAGCATCATCCTTATTACGGAGTTCCTTCGACAGGAGTACACAGTACTTAGAGGCACTGCTAGTTACAGAGTACTTTCCTCCGCATATCTGTGGCGGTCGTCTTCTGTTTTCTCGCTTCTTGTTAAACTCATCCACGCTATCTTGTGACGACTGATGTTTAAAATTTGATAGGCTAATACTTGGTTACCCTTATCTGACTGGCCACTCTGGAGACATATCTCGGGGGTACGATTCATCATAGCCCTCCAACGATCGGCGGCTATAATGTGTAGACTAAGCCGTCCAGTTGTTCTTCTGCACGTGGTGGTGCGCCGAACAGCCGGTAGATGATGGATATCGAAGTCTTACTCTGAGCTTCGATCCAGTCTGACCCCTTTCTAGTTTACGCAAAATGTAAAGCACACGTACACATGGCGTTGTATCGAGCTCAACACGTACGATGCAGATGAGTATCAATGGGGAGAGATCTTCGTCTTCCATCATTAGGTGAAAACGGAGGTGTACATTACGGCAGTGCAGGTCCAGATGCGTGGCAAATATGGAGACAAGAGTGTGTTGCTGCGCCGCTTCGTTGCTAATTGCTTCACTGATCCGAATGAGTCCTCCAAACAATTGTCCGACAGTAACGTCAATGGTGGTGTGCGGCTGTCAATGCCACAGCTCCATTCATAGTGCAGGATCGTTCACGCGATCACAGCTACAGGAGACGGACGGCAACGGGAGAAAACGGGAGCATTTCACTCAAAGCATTTTATCCGACCGAATCACAGTTAATTCCAAGAACTGAATGGTAACTACTGGGTTTGATACAGCATCGGGTATCTCCGTTGCGGGTTGAAGCCGGACCTGTGTTTTGACTTATGAGCCCGGCAGTGGCCGACACACAGTCTCAAGACTCCCGGGAGCCAGCAAACATGAAGCGAGCACACTCGGATAACATTCCTTGTGGCTATAAAGTCACGCCAATATCTGCCTACGAACAAAGAATCTCAACACCACCTTTCGGCGTGCCCGCCCGGCTTAAGGGTACGGTTTCCAGCAAAAAGCCAAGGCTGGTTAGACTATTGATTCAGATCTTATCTATAGTCCAGCTTTCACGATCCATTCCTATGGTGAACTATACCTGGCAAACGGCATACTTCCCGTTATGCAGGAACACCCGCAACGGTCACCAGAGCAGGGAGGGAGGCAAAAGGGAAGAAGATGGCACCGTTCAACCACCAGACCGGACTTTCCAGTCATAGGAAGCCGGGCTCAAGTACAGCCTGGCATCTGGGGGCAATATCGGGCCAGGCATCAAGAGTAAATCGGTCTGAGCCGCCCAAGTTGTGCTGTGGTGTATGAAATCAAGTCATGAAGGGAATTACCCATAGACGTCATACCCACGCTCCCGGACCCCGGGATTTTCTCGTACGTGTAGTTGAAGCAAGAACTTCCCATTCCGTGATCCGTGATCCAGGTTCGCCAAGACCCGCCATGGCATGCCTTCCGGGGCAATCAGTCCGATGGAGGGGCCGAAGATCACCAATGTTTCGGGTCAATGTTCCCCGGCTCTTGCACCCGAAGTCCACCGGTCTTACTGACACGGTTACAGAAACCTTAGTATAGAAGGTTTATGGCGTATCATCAGCGTTGATCACTACCTATGTATTGGTCCTATCACGTTAGCAAGCAGGATAAGTTTATAACCGCTCCTTGATGTTGAAGTCATACAATACTGCCGCTTCGATGAAGAGCATAGAATCGAGATCGATGACCCCCGTCTACCAGCGACAGCCGTGCCGGCTTCGAGCCCAGCCGATCAAACCACCGCAGCCGGTTCACGTCAATCCCCCTGATTCAACACCATGTGGAAAAAGTGATGATATCATTACAGAGTAGATTATTGTTATTGTCGCTTGCTTGGTATACCGGCTCCGGGCGCCCTCAGTCCCTCGTCATGCGCCTCTTCCTTCCATCCATCCATCAATCACAACATTATTAAGGGTGTGACCGGACGAAACCAACGCATCTCCTCTCCTCATCTTTGTAAACCCCATTACTTAGAGGGCAATCCAGATGAGCATGATGACAACATCGAGCCCCTTGGCCTCGCCATCATACTTGAAGCTCCACATGCCGTCCGTCTTCTCGTTCCAGTAGCCCGCCGTCGCGCTGTGCATGCCCCCCCCCCCCCCCCCCGCCTGTCCCTTCTTACTGGCACTGGCGGGAGCGACAGCCTCGGACGAGGTCGACTCGCCCTCGGGGCCGGTGCCGGTCGACGTACTTGTGCTGGTGGCCTTGTTGAGCTGCGAGGTGGGAACGACGTGCTGCACGATGGTGCTGTTGACGGCGAACTTGTAGGCCGGGGTTGTGGCGCCTTGGGGGGTCGCTTCGGACATTACCGCCTTGAGCATTTTTTGCTGGAATTCGGAGATCTCAGTTAAGTTGTGCCCCTCTTGTTACTGAAAAGTGCCCGGTGACCCCTTGTTCTGTGTTCCTCCAGATACGGAGAAGGGCGGTATAGAGGAGCAGGCGGACAGGAACAGAGGACTAGGTAACGTAGGCGAAACGTACAATGATGGCCTCATTCCATTGTGCGGTCTTGGGGTGCTCATAGAATTCGACGCTGGCGAAGGTGCTGTTGCACACCTGGTTGTTGTAAAAAGTGTCAGCGCATTTCGCAACTTTCGAGTAGCAGGTCCGGATTTCGTTTGGCGACCGCCGTGCTGGAAAAAGGGGTCGATCGCAAACGTACGTCGGTAGCGATCTGCTCAAGGCGCTTGGGCGGCAGGGGCTGGTTTTGGCATCGCAAAGTCAGTAAAAACTGCTCAGCTCAAGGAAGCCGGCCGAAAATCCTCACAGAGTTCGATGGGGAGGCCATTTTGTTGTGTGGTGTTGTGTGGTTGTTGGGTGTAACTCGGTGTTTATTTTACGATTGTTGCGGTGCGATGCAATAGACGGAGGAGACCCTGGCCCAAAGGCTGTCGCGTTAGTCAATGGAAAGCCCAACCAATCTCGTCTCTGAACTCTGGGGGAGGGGGGCAATCATACAGCTGCTCTTCGAGGGACAAGGGTGGATATACTCTTTATTACGGCCCTGGGATGTTGAAAAGGGGATGCTAGGAGACGGCTGCCGGAGGAAAGTTGAAATGTCGAATTGTAGATGCCCAATCGTAAACGGTCGTTATCACCAACACAACACGCGATTACAGTTCGTCCCGTTGCCTGCCCCGATGCGCTCTGCCACTGAGTCAGCATCACACTGCCCTGCAGCGAGTGATGGCCGCTGCCGGATGGGTAACTCCAGCGGGTGCGGTGGAGGGCGAGCTCGAATACCAAGCATTGTAGCCTCAGCGTTGGCCATCGACATTGACAGCTGACAGATGAGAGGCACGTGATCAAGGGCGTGCTCACAGTTCGACTTCAGAGTTTCACGGTCACCACGGTGACGAAAGAGTGGTGGGTTAAGCATCGCTTTAGCTCTGTCCAGCGGAGGCATTCCCACCCAATCATTCCGGAAAGGAGGCCCACGTGGGCTCCAGTTTCCCGCTACGATTTCAGCATCAGGCTTGTTGGAGGATGGCTCCGTCCTCTCATTGCTCAATTGACGTTTGAAGCTTTGCAATTGGCGAGCAGGAATTCCCTTCTTCCACTTGTGGCAGCTTCTCGCTGGCTGCAGTGCCGCATCATTCAGACATCAGACTTCGACGGTTGAGTTGGCGAAAAGAAAAAGGACGAACCTCCCCCAGAAGCCCGAGACGAAGAAACACGACAGCGAACAGTGTTCCACAAAGCTTGTTCGTCGGTGACACAACGCGAAACCGTCCCAACTCTTGTTTGACAGCTCCAGTCGCTGTGGGATATCTTATCCGAGTCTCTGACGGAACCGGGAGCCGTGCGCGGACCGCCTTTGCTAGCTTGATTTTCGATCCGGATTGCCACTACGAAAAACACTTCGAACGACAGCAGTTTCTTTATTCTCGACGGTACATACGCAGAGCCTTCGCTGCTCAACCGATATACCGACACACAAATCATAGCTACACATCATCAAAATGTCGAGTCAACCTCTCCTCCAGACTGCGCCAGGTAAGCGAACATTACGCTCCCTCCCAGTTTCACGGCGCTTTTCCCACTGACATCATCCGTCACCTCCACAGGCAAGCGCATCGCTCTCCCCACTCGCGTCGAGCCCAAGGTCTTCTTCGCCAACGAGCGCACGTTTCTCTCGTGGCTCAACTTCACCGTCATCCTCGGCGCCCTGGCGATAGGCATGCTCAACTTTGGCGACCGGCCCGCCTTTATTTCGGCCTTTCTCTTCACAGGCGTTGCCATGGCAACTATGGTGTATGCGCTCGTGACGTACCACTGGCGAGCCAAGTCGATACGAATGAGGGGACAGGCCGGCTTCGACGACCGCTTCGGTCCGACCTTTTTGGCCATCATCCTGCTCCTCGCTGTGGTGGTCAACTTTGTTCTGAGGATCACGTATACTTCGCAGCAGCCTTAGAAAGCATGAAGAGAAGGACTGGAACTGATGGACGAATGACCTGAGCGACGACAACTACTCTACGGGATTTTGATGATGTATCAACGCTCCCTTCTGACTGGCCGTTGCGCCAGATAAGCCAGCAAACCCGAGCTTCCGAGCTCCGAATAGGAATGGTGTACTGCCACCACTGGCGGGATTCGTGGAGAACTGGTATTCGGCTCTCTTGGATATCATATGACGGAGCTATGAGTACGATACGTTATGAGCTGCTACTAGAATGAAGAACACTGGAGCACATCGGGGATAGGAGATTGGGAATGACTATTCAACATTTGTATCGACGGGGCAGGGGCGTTTGGCATTGATTGCTTGCATGGGGCCGGCGTTTGTCGACTTAGGATCCTAAAGCATTACAGACTAACGAATAAAAGTTCAGAGAAGGTTACCACAAAGCAAAACTTTTCCGTTGCGTTGCGAATGCTATTTGCATTGTTGCGCTTTTGGTCTAAGATATCAAAGAACATGCTATTGATGGAGAATGTTGCTCATTTGAACGATCTCCTTGGCCCTTCTCGTGTTTTCCCTTGACCTAGCGTGGATAATTAAAAGCACGCTTTGAGAGATTTTGTGTAAACCTCGTGTCTATAAAATGCAAGGTACCGAAGCAAAAACACAACCTGATACCTGATGATGCTCCCATAACTCCGCACTATGCCATGACCATTGCCAAACTCCAAATGGAGAATCATCAAGTAAAACCAGAACGTTCATGTGTCGCGAAGAACTGCCCCGAGGCTATTACTTATGCTCGTTGCTTTCCTTTTAGACCCCATCATCCTCAGTGTGCCCTGAACTCCCATAATAGTGTCCCAACCGAGTGAAGGGCAATATGGCCCATCATGATAAATGCATAACTCTTCCTGCGAGCCTCCTTTCCATCCGTCAGATGGGCATAGGCGGTCAACCGGGGGGCAGGACTTAGGCTACCAAGCTGACCCTCTTCTTTTTCAAATGCTCAATATGCTGCTCGTTGCTCTGCACAGCAATGTTCCGCATCGTCCTCAGCTCCTCGATCGGGATCCTCGACAAAAATACGCTCACATACTTGTTGTGTCGAACCTTGGTTGGCTCGATAGCTCTCTCGAAAACCGTCTGCTGTTGTTGTCGTCGTTGTCCCTCATTGTTGTTGTTGTTGCGATCACCCATCGTCTCGAACGCCTCCTCCTCGTCATCATCACCATCCTTGGTCAAGTCCATAACCGCATCCTCCACCACCTCCATCCCACCACTGCCCTCTTCCACCTCTTCTGTCTCCGTCAGGACATTGTACTGAAACCACTTTTGCTCCCCCTCGCCAATCCTCCGTCGTACCAGCTCGGCAATGGTGACAAGCTTGCTCGAAGCCACTGGCTTGGCGGACAGGAGCACCACACCGGGAAGCACGGATTGATCCCACAGGTTGAAGCGGTCGAGGTGTTGCAAAGCTTTGTCGACGTGCTTGGCGATGCTGGTCGAGGGCATAACGCTCATGGTCTTGACCTCATATCGGGGCCGGAGCTTGGCGAGGAGGGACGCGTATGGTTGGAAGGCCGGGGTTACGCCGGGGGTGGTGCTTTGCTGCTGGTTGTGGTTACTTTGCAGTGGCGTTGCCTGGTTCTGGATGTTGGAGGTTCCTGTGGTGCGCTGCTTCTTGCTGGACAGGTTGCCTGGGACGTCGCCGTCTCCGAGATGGCGACGCTTGTTCTGGTTTGACGAGACCGAGGATGAGGCCGAACGTGAGGGGGGAGAGGGCGACGCGTGATGAAGCATTGTGTCTGCGGCGGCCATATGGCTCTGTTCCCAGGTAGGTTTCGTCAAGTTGATTGATTGATCGGTTCAGCTTGCAGGCTGGGGTTGATAGGACTGATGGCGATGGATGTGGTTGCCTGGCCCGGTACCTGGCCAGATAGAATGCTGTTGAGGATGAAGGTGAAGTTTAGCTGAGCGTTGTCGTTAATGTTGGGGTTATCAAGGGAAGCTTGAGAGGCAGCGGTACGTACCGATGTTTCGGTAGGCGACTGTTTAATGTCGAATTTGACGTGGGGTCCATGGATGCTTCGATAAATTTGTGGATCCATCTAAGGCTTATCGATAAGCAATGTACAACCTCATTTCAGCCTGGAGTATTGGACGTGTCGTTCGAACTTTACTCACTTTCGCTTGGAGATTGGTACGAGACGGCGGCGGCATTTCATTACACATCGACTTGCATCCAGTAATCGCTCATTTACTTTCGAAGTGTGCCTAGGTACATACGGGTATCCAGAAGTCTTATATGATGTACGAAGCGCGCTTTTGACCTCGGTGACAACCTGAGGTTGACTGGAGGCTGGAACTCGAGACAAGGTGCCTTGCATTCCACGTTACGAAATTCCAAGTACTGCATGCTGGAGAGAGCATCATAGATCGGACCACATTAGTGCCATGAAAGCTAGCTGAGATGTTGCGGAGTACCTAGACGGAGTTAGAGAACAACGGCCGCGTCTGAGAAGAATCAGAAATCACAAGTTCATGGCCATGAGGTGGATTTAATATGGCCGATATTATCTACCAGGAGAGAGCGAGAATGTATTCAGAGGATAAATGTTCCTTCCAAAGGCAGGTGATTTTCTAGTGTTTGTCTTAAAGCATGGCTCTCTGTAGTCGGAGAAAGTTGTCTGATAATCTCATTGCTAATTTGCAACACCAGGAAAACAGCAGCTTTCGTTTTTGGTAAGCACTCGAGAGCCATCGTTGGCTTGTGAATACTTCGATACAGATAACGAGAGATAACATCAACTCTCCAAGTTATCAACCTCGAGATCCAACTTAGGTGAAGCTCTTCAACGGTTGGAGGTTCTGAACATTTGGTTCCCTTTTTGACCAATGAAACAGACAGAAGTCATCATGCAGGTCTCATGCAGCCCGTGGCCCACCATGTGTGCTCCAAGCTTGTGCACTGTTCATGATCGGGGTCTGTGGGTCCCGACGCTTTGTTGTTGGTCGGAAGAAGATGCGACGTCCTGGAATATTGGCTGTACAGCTTTGTCCATCTTCTGGCGAATGCTTTATTTTCCATAACTTGATGACGGCGAGGGGATATTCGCACAGAAAACCTCAAAAGAGCCTCGAGGCACATCGAACGCAATAATCGACCCGGGAAGACGTTCTCTTGGTTCAGGGCAACGTGTTCAAGAGAGCGAGCGCAGACCGCAACTTTCTGCACCGGCAGCTTTCTTTGCAGTGCATCAAGGTCCGTGGTTCGAAACTTACAGCAAGCAGCTGAACATCAACCTTACCCGCTTGATTTTCTGATTGAGCTCCATTCTCTCTGCGTGGCGTTGGATGAGATGTGGATTTGCGGGGTTCACGATGCGTAGCAGGGGCCAGCGTGTTACAGATCAAGCTACTTAGATTCAAGAGTCTTGAAGATGTCTCTCTTGTTGTTTGCAATGACTTCCAGAACGATAAGAAGGTGCACGTACGACAGCGACGACGGTGAGAGCTGCTCTCTCGTCACAAAAATAACCATTTGCAGCATGGTATGATGTACTGGCACCCTCTACACTACACCTGCTCACATCGGTGATACCTTAGGCAAGCCACAATCGACGAGAGGCGGCTGCTTGCAACTTGCTTCCCGAGCGCAAAGCTTACTGGTGCGTTGACTGGTTGCAGGCACATTGGGGCTCTGGGGATGCAAAACTGGTAAAGAGGTTGGATGACACCCAGGTTGGATTGGTTGTGTTGTCGCTGACACTGACAGTTCCAGTTGGCAAGGGTCAAACTCAGTTGAGTGATTCCAACACCTCCGACTGTCCAGTGAAATGATGAGACTCCCAAGGACTGGGCGCGATCAGTCAACCCCATCTTCACAGCCCCGGCTGCACTGCAATCGCATCCTCCTATGCCGTGCCCCTCGCCCACTCCGACTTTCCCATCTCATTCGCATTTCATTCCCCATCCGGTTGCATCATAAACGCTCATATTTTGGCGTGGCAAGCACCCACAGAAATTGGATGCGACGGCATTCTTCTACACACTTATTTGCGACTGGAGCCTCCCGGTCACCATCTGTTTGTGTATGACATTGGATATTGAGACAGCAGCCAGAAATACACAGTAATTACGTGATGATTTTCACGACGAAACAAGCTGCGCGTTCGACCGTTGAGGTATCAAGCAGTCGATTTCAGACCAGAGAATCGGTTTGCCTTGGGCCTCGCAGCATCGCGCAGGGATCAGTGCACATCCAACAGGAAGAGTGTGTGCATGTGCGAGTGCAGCCTTCTCGGCGTTCGGGCACAGCCTTCCGAGCCTTCTCCTCTTTTTTTTCTTTTAACTCCTCTGTCGGGAGATTCATTTCACCTTCCAGTCGTGATGGAAGTTTCTTCCGGTCCTCATGTGCAGATGCTCTTGCGTCAAATAAGCACATCGGGAGCGGTACGCAGCCAGAGGTAGTGTGCAGCTGAGGCGTGAACGAGCAGGAACAGGCAGGAAGCAGAGTGGCAGAGCATGGGCTCGTGAGACATGGAGGTCTAACAGTAACAGCAACAGGCGGCTTGGCCTCCCACCCTCCATGTTGACCCATGTTATTCGCTTCTGTCCAATCACAACCGTAGATTGTGGCCTCTCCTTGACTTCCCAGTCTCCCTCGTTTCTCTTCCTCGTCGTTCCTCCTCGACCCAAAGTTGGCCCGGTGCCCCCTTGTCCCCTTGTCCCCTTGTTCCCTTGCGTCCATTCTTTGGGTGACTTTGCCATTCAATCGGGCCCGTCTCCTTTTGCGACTCCTCCGGCCTCAGCGCTGCCCCCAAACCCCCTCAACTTCAACCAACTCCGCAGTGCCTTTCCAGCACCTCCCCTTACAACTTGCGTGACAGCGCCCATTCACCCTCCAGCACCCCCCATTTTCAATCAACTTACAACCAACTTCTCAGCAACATAATCCGACCAAAACCATTCCGAACCACAGCGAAACCTACATTTTCTTGCTCTTTGAACTCCGCGCTTTCACTTCGCACTTGTTATTATTTGTTATTATCGCCTTTCCGACCGAGACTTTGACTAGTTCTCGCGCGCTCTTCCGGTAGTTGCTACCTAATCACCCACCTCCCTCACACTACCACGACTTCCAGTCTGCTGTTCTGTTGGGCCAGCACCCAACACTTTGCACCTTCCGACTGCCACCAGTTGTGACTCGGGTCGGACCCTGCTTCGTCCTCGGTTGGGTCTTGGTCGCGGCCACATCATCAAAGCCAAGCAGCCCACTCCGCCAAGCCTTCCCGGTTCCCTTAAGGTCCCCGCCCCTGCGCGCTGCTAGCGGTCTGCGACTCGGCGACTCTGCGTGTGCGGTGCGGCCTCTTGTCAGTTTCCCCCGGCTGTGCCGAGCTAACCTGAAAAAGGCAATCTCAACAATCAACTGGCAACTTCCGATCCACACAAGGCGATCAAGCGGCCCCCTGATTTCAGCGAGAGTTGAAAAGGACCCATTTGCTCTTTCACTGGGTTACGTCAGCCTTGCCTGCCACACGACCCAGCAACAGGCCCACTCGTCAGCTGCTGCCGGCCTGCCACGCGTACCCGCTCGGTTGCCCGTCCAATACGCAGCCCCCTATTCGGCCTGTTTATCCTATTCGCTCCCCCTTTCGACTAACACACCACAACCACCACCATTTGGGCTATCAGTGTTGCTGCTGCCTGCGAAGTGTCGTGACCCTTATATCACGTCTTCCGCCCTTCTTTCCTGATATATCATCGGGATTGCTGCCTCAGAACGCATATACACCCGAGATCTTCCATATCACCACATGTTTCCTTTCTGGACTACCGAGTCAAGGGGAAGTGACAAGGCCTTAACGTTAGATGCAAAAAGCCATCCTACACTTTTGGATCGTGGCGAACCATCCGTGTCCACCGTGTCCGCCCTTCCGACCGCGTCGGGTCTTCCGACGCCCATCTCTCCCGCACCCACCCACTCACTGAAGCGAAGACGGCCCAGCGCTGTTGACACCGCTTCCCATGTTAATGGTCACTCGTCCTCAAAACGCATCAAGACAGAGCAGGATGGTGGTCTACCTTCACCGGCCTCGGCCTATGCAGATGGGGATGAGGCGGCAAGGTCGTCTACGCCCGCCGCCTCGGGGCCCAACCTAGAACGTGCAAAGGACGTCATCCAATATCAATTTGGACTTGAAATCCTCATGAAGCATGACGAGCTCCGTCTTATCAACCAGGAGCTGGCCAAGTGTCAGATTGCTCTCGAGCAGCTTCGCCGGTGTCATCTCATCCCCTATCCTGTCCAATGTCCGACACCCAGTCAGATGCTGGACATCAGCAGTGGCGAGGGTCCTGCTCTTCAGTCGAAACCAGGAGAGTCCGTACCGAAGTGGGCGCCACCCTTCGGGGTTGTTGACGGCCCGTATGCTCGGCACTACGCTAAGTGGCTGATACCCGATCCCATGTTTGACGGTATTCAACCGGAACCAGTCGTGGAGACTGCCCGGGCAAGGAACGCCGTCGCTGAAGGCAGAACGACGAGGAATAGCATGTCTGACGCAGGTGGTCTAGGAAAACAACGCTCTGCCCGTGGACAGGGCACCCAGAAACTCCAAGCGTTATCCAGTGGATATTCGCATCCCAAGGACAAATCATTGCCTTGCATTGTGAAACGGTCGGATGGGTTGACGGTTAAGCTTGTCTGCATTGATTGTGAAAGGTGGAACTTCTCGAGCACGCAGGGCTTCATCAATCACTGCCGTATAGCCCATCGGAGAGACTACAAGAGCCACGACGAAGCCGCCCTTCATTGCGGGCAGCCGATTGACGTTGATGAGAATGGAGGTATTGCTCCCGAGGAAAAGAAGCCATCGTCTGCCATCGCTCCAATCGCCCCAGCTACTACCAGTTCCGCTTTGGTGCACCCGCTGGCACGCAGCGAACCACTCTCGGAGCAGCAAGCATACAAGGCATTGCTCTCGCGCATCAATGCGTCACTCGAGCTATACCATGCTGGTCAGCTACCGGATGTGAAGAAGATCCCAACGGCTCCATCAGCATCGAACTCGGCTTCCCCCAAGTCACAAGGCTTTGTTGGGTCGTCTGAAACGCCGTTTCTGTCGAAACTGATGCAAAAGAAGAAACTGGGGGGTAATCTGCATGATAAGGTAAAGGATGCAAAGACCAAGGTAGATTGGGACGCAGTTCTTTCGCGTAACGATTCTGAAGACACCGATCAGTCGAATGCTGCAGAAGGTGCTACGAGCTCCAAGAAGGCTGCTGCGTCAACAGCGCGGACATCAACCGTCATGCGTAAGCCGGCCTCGTCTACCATTTCTCCTCCACCGTTTTCCAGGATTTCCACTTCCCCCGTCCCTCTACCAGCAACGAGCAGAGGTCGTGCTCCGGCCCACTTGGTCAGCTTGCCCATCACAGCTACTAGGCAGAGCAACCCACCAGATCTTCCCGAGACGCCTTTGTATGAGGACGATATGGATACGGAATTGAGTCCGAACACCGTCGCTAGCAATAATGCGCCCTCACTTGTTAGTGATGATGGGGAGTATGATGATTCCGACGATGGATCTTCCTCCGACACCAGCGATGAGGCTGAAACTCGGTCCGTCCCGGATGTGGCAGAAATCAACATCGAAGAAGAGGTCCATGACGTGGTTGTCGCGCCTAGCGCCCCAATTTGCCAGCACCGAAAGGAAACCACGACCGACAGAACAGGTACCGGAAAATTCAAGAAGGACGAGAGCCGACATGTGACCTTTGTGACACCTATTCCTCCCCCGAAGCCGAAAACCAAGGCTAAAACCACGGCTAGTGGCGGGAACAGACGCAAGCAGAAGTCTTAGGAATGTGATCCTCTTGGCTCTTCTACAGCTCGGGAATGAATGATGGTTCAACTTCGGTTCTGGAGGGGCTATGTCGTTGCGTCGTCAGCTTGAGCAGGCACAAGCACCTCCATATATACGTACTATTTACGAGATGTTACTACACATATTTTTAATGATGAGATGAATGAGAGAACAGCGTTTTCAGGCTTCGGAACAGAAAGAGAATGCCTAAAGCTTATGAAGTTAGGGTTCAGCGGAAATTGTGATTTTAGGAGGAGGGTATTTTTCTTGACCTTTTCTTTTCTTGTCCCTCTTAACTACTCAGACTCTTATTATAATTCAAGACAAGATAAGAACGGCTCAAACCAAAACAAAGCTCACCTGTATTTTATTTTTCTTTAAGTCATCGTACTATATTGAAGCGATTCTTGTCGCTCCAGTCTACTTGATTTGGGAGGGGGGGGGGAGGGGGGGGGGGGGAACGAAAGATTGTCATCTCAAAGTGACCGACCGTGTTAGGCGAACGTTCGAACAGCTGGAATGAAGGGGAAAGGTACAAAGCAAGTAGACCACGGTTATATTATGAGTTTGTTTGGCCAACGAAATGTACATACTTTGTCAAGGACCCTCCCCCTTGATCATATAGATAATCATGGACCTTTTCAAAACCAATTGTCTACAGTCTTCTTGCGTGATGACCGGAATGCCTGACAAGATGGTTGCAGGACAATGTCTATCTCAACCAAGGCTTCTTTGAAGCGATGGCTCAGTACCTCGTAACATGAACAGATACGCATATACAGTTCGATGTTGGTTGTACATATGTTACCTAGCTTGGTCCTCCAAGTGAGATATGTCATGCACCCGTTGAGACGTCGGAAGGTCGGTACAAGAAGGCCAAAGCAGAATCTGAAACTACATTATCTGCATCAGAGGTACACAATCACAGTAAATTCAAGTCTCTATATAGACATGGGGATGAACACGTAAACTGGACGTACAACCGCGTCATGAGTTTGACCAGAGGTCTCAAGCCAACGAGCTTCATAAGCAGCGCATTGTATTGAGTAAAGGGATCAGAGGTAACTATTGGATATCGGAACCCTGCATATCTGCCCCCATCAACCCATTTGAATATATCATCAGTATCCATCCCTTCTTGTGTTCTTCTCCGGGAAGCTCGCGAGAGGGATTCATTTCCGTACTCGCCTTCGATGTTGAGTTGAGTTTGCCATCAATGCGCATCTCAAGCGTAACGAAGATAACGTGAACTTGTCTGGTAGGTATAAAATCATATACGGAGGCATTACACCAAGGCAGGGAAGGGTTCTTACATACTGGATTGGCGCAGGTCCAGCATATTTTGGCAATTTCCTGCGTCCCTTCCTTCTTTGGGTATGTTCTCGCTGCGAGAGTTCCGTCGCAGCCTGCTACGCTTCTCTTCTCCCTGATTCTGATTAGTCTCGTCCTTGTCTTTCTGATATAACGAAACTTACTGTTTGACTCTCATCTCAATGCGCTATTTCTTCAGCTCATCGAACAATGCCATATATATATATATATATGAATATATGTGCTCATGCCTATGTAGAGGTTTGTCTGGTGCCCATTTCACCACTCGTCAATATCCCTTGATATTGTCTATGCGCTAGTTCCCTCTTCACCCGCTTCATGTTGACGTCTCCAACCTCGTACGACAGTGGTGGTATCATCACCACTGTAACCACCTTATCGTGGCCCAACGACCCAACCCATGCTGGCTTGGATTTTGAGAAAAGCATCTGGAATGAGAACACCCACCTCTTTCATACTTTTCTCCTAATGCGTGATCCTAGACGAGCGAAGCTCCCTTTCCGCTGGGCCATCCATGGCGCAGTTCTGTACATCTGGCTGGTCCGAGGGACAAGTGGGTATATCCAGGTATATCGGTCTCAGTCCGAGTTTCCTTGACGCATGTCATGGCTCCCTACACCTCGCAATATTACTGACAATTAGAAGGTCTTTAAGGTTCATGACGAGGGACATTGGCACTAGGTTATTCAAGAAGGCCTTGGCTAGGCTTTGGGCCCCGGAACTTCGAGGAAAGAAAACATCACGCTAAGTATGAATGGCATGTGTCGTGGACAGCCGGAGTTTCACGTCCGTGGATACTTGGCGTTCCAAACTATCACAGAATGAAATTGACATCATGATAGATAGCTATCGAGATAAAATAGTATAAATAAAAGGGGGTATAAAATAAACGAAGTCATGCCAAATAAAACCAATCCGACCAACTAACTAACTAGCCAACCCAGCATCAGCGAGCGTGTGTCGTTTTCAATTCCATGGCATGGCTCTTGTTTTTCTTTCTTTTTGGCTTATCACATCAGTTCTTGCCTCATCTCCTCAGCTTTCATCATCGTCATCATAATCAGACCCAATTTCAGGTAAATGCCACCCTACTAGTTGGGTAAAGCACCCTTCTCCGGAGCCACGGCCGCGGGGACAGCAGCGGGAGCAGCAACAGGCATCTTCGCGTCACCCGCAGTAGCATAAGCAGGAGGAGCGGCGGCGGCAACCGGAGCCTTGGTGTCAACAGGCGAGATGTTGGTCGGGCTGGAAACTACACCAGTGTCATGGGGGGAAGGCGGCAGCGTCTGGGCCTCGTTCAAGGTCAGGTTGTTAACCCCAGCCTCGAGCCTCTTGTCCTCGACGTCCGGGCTGGGAGTAGTGAGGGGCGTGGCTACGCCGGGACCAAGAGCACCGGTGACATTTCTAATGACATCGAACCACTTCTGGGCTTCCGCGACGCTGTGGGCCTTGAACTGCAACTCCGAGGTGCCCGCCAACTTGCTGGTGATGCCCTTGGACTTGTCCTTGCCCTTGACGTGGAACTTCTCGTCTTTGGGGGCACCGATGATGGCATCGGGCAGATAAATGCTGAGTTCGGGCTGGGGGTCCTTGTGCATGGGGTCGTTGTCCTTGAACTCGTGGAGGTACCTGGCAGGGGTGACGACGTAGTAGCTGGTGTTGTAGCCCCACGAGAGCTTGTTGCGAGACTTGCGGTCGAGCGAGCCTTCGATGAGCGCCCTGGTAGCGGGGTTATCGTTGTTAGGAACCGTGGGGAGGATGTGGTTGAGTTCACGGGGAGGTTCGTTTTCGTCCACGAGAACGTCGGCCCTGCGCTTACGGAATTCCTGCCACTCGAACTCAGGCGGAATGTTCTGGGCGGTCTGGAGCACTTGGGAGTAGAGACCACGAATACGCTCAGCATGACCACCGGCGAGCCCATTGAAGTCCTCCATGGCCTTTTGGATGCGCTTAACAACGTTGGTCTCGAAATCCTTGAACTGGGCTTGGGCGGTGATGAGCTCGGTGCGATGGCTGTTTTCATCTGAAATCTGGCGGTAGAGGCGGTGGATGACACCCTGGCGAAGAACATAGGGATCATCGGCCGGAGTGAGGTCGGCGCCGCTCGCTGGGAAGGAGGCAACGTGCTGGGCGAGCAACTCGATATGCTTTTGGGTCGTGTTGCGGGACTTCTCGACCGCCTTAGCGCCCCTGTTCAGGCTGTGGGAGAGCCTCTTGGAATAGTCCTTGATTTCGTTGTGCAAGTTCTTCAGGTCTTGAAGGACGGTCTCCTTGAGGTTCTTCTGCGTCTCGACGTTACTGGTGATCATGCCCTGGGTATTGGCGCGCAAAACCTCGAACATGGTCGCTACACCGACGACATTGGTGGATCGCTGGGAGAAGTGATCTCCTTCCCGCAGGGGATGGCTAATGGTCTGCCGAACGTCGTAAGTATTCATAAAGCGTCGTGACACAGAACCATGTGCTTGTAGTGGGCTCCCTTACCTTCAAGACCTTCTCGTATTCCTTGGCCTGAGAGTGGTGAATCTTCTCAACGGCCTCGACATAGTCTTCGAGGTAGGCGACGGCGTGCTTCCATGCTCGGAGACGTTGGACGAGAATACCGGCGGTCTGGTATACAAGCGTGTTAGCGACATTTGCCGTGTAAGTGTGCAAGATCTAGCGAGGGGCTTGGAGGCGTACGCTGTTGGGATCGAACTCGGGAATGGCCATGTCATCGCTGGCGGTGCTTGTCATTGTTGTTTGCCTCGTGGGCACTGTCGACGTGTTGGCGGACATGATTTGCGCTTTTTAGAAAAAAAGTTTGCTCCTATCGCGAGTCAAGTGGAAGATTATGTATGTAGATATCTGCTCTACAAGTAAGAGTCGTCACTCGTAGTGGTTTGTATTGTGATATGGAATAGTGTCGCAGAAGCCCCTTTTATTTTAGAAAGAGGAAGTCTTCTGCTAAAGTTGTACTCGGCTTAAAAAGATCACGCAAGAGAAAGGGCAAGGATGGGTTTAAAACGAGTCCAAGCGGTTGGGTTCACAGCCTGTGGTGTTCGTCCCAACCCTGCGCAAGTGGGTGACCAGCTGAGTCGGCGCGCGGGAAGACAGGTGGATGAAGTCATCCAGACCCTGTTACGGAGGGAACCTTTTTGGCCCAACCTCGCACTCTTCACGTTCCTCAATCCCCCGTCTTCACGAACTGAACCCCCAAGCAAGCTGGGCGGTGGAGTATCCAGATCACAAGGTGGATCTCTTGGAGAGACTTGGAGATGTGACCGTCTCAGCCCATTGGCCAATCGGCCGGCATAAGTGGAACGCCTCTTGGGATAGTGCAGCATCGGTGCAGCGAGATACAGGCTGAAATGGGCCATGTGCATTGTTCGGTACAGTGATAAATAAAAGAGAACACTGTGACACTTTTGGCACACGATCTGATTCTCCACGATGATTGGCAGCTTCCAAAGAGAAGCTCAATCTGAAGCCGAACAAGTCGATTCAACCCTGCGCGGATCATCACAAATGGTATGACGTATGTCTTGGCCGTGGGGCATCTGCACTCCCCAAACCAGCTGAACTGCGGTTCTGGACTGCATTGTCTCCCCCGTTGCTCCCTTCTCTCCCGTGGAAATGGATGTGGCGGGGTTGAAGAGTCTTGATGTCTTGCCCACTTTTTTTTTTTGTTCATGATGATCGTATTCTTTTTCTGTATAATAAGCATTGATACAGCAGTCGCCTTTCCAACGTGCGAAAGCTAAAGATCTTCGATTAAGTTTTTGGTGCTTTCCGGGGTAACCACGCAGGAGAGGATGGGAAAGAGATGAGCGCGATTGTCAAGAATACCACCATGGCCTTGACAGCGGCGATGCGAATCTGTCTCAAATGACGTATGACGGGATAGTCCAAACAAGACTCTTGTCAAACAACCTAATGAAGGACGTTGTGACCCGAACCCGTCCTCCTCCATGTCCAATTCGAGCGGCGCGCCTTGCCGTTGTCTTGTCGCAAGCCGCAACATGGTCAGGTTGCACTGCGTTACATCGCATCTCATGCATCACATGGCATTATTTTCTGGCCTTGAATTTGACTGTGTAACAACATCTCAACATGTAGTAGAGATGTTATTTTTATATATTGTTTAACAGTAAGTTACTCGGTATTGTCCATTGTGAGGAGGGGGTATCAGATTCTATGTAGATGGTAGTAAAGTGCGGGCGCCGCCAAACCATCTTTCACCTGCCAACAAGTGTGTTCATGCATAAGCCAGTTCTATCGCCATCCATCCGCCGTTCCTAATCCGCTGTTTTTCCCAAATCATACGCGCCCAACGAAGAAAAAAACCAATAACCAAAAGAAACCAATTGTCGCCATCCCAACCTAAACTCCGTGCAAATATGCGTTATTAATTGACCAGTCACAAACAAGCCAGATCACCATGGGTTCTGATCGCGAAAGAAACACATGCCCCGGCAAACCTCTACTCAATTGGCCTGCATCATTGACGAGTGCCGTCTGCGATCTTCAGACTCTGAATGGGAGTGGCCGTGGTGGGAATGTGAGTGATGGATGTGTGGAATGTGCGAGAGTGTGAAGGCGAGCCGTGATCGCGTTGATTTGCGCCGAGGCGGTTCCGGAACGAAGTTGCGTTCTTCCACTTTGCTTGCGCCGTCCCCAGCCTCGGAGTGGCCAAGTTCTGGTGACCCAGGAGTGGTTGTCCCAGAAGCGCTTGTCGCAGCCACGTAGTCAGGCAGAACTGTGCCCTCGGGGTACATGATAGGCCGAACTGGTGTCTTGACCGCCGTGTGGTAACTCGGGACCTTGCTGAGCTCCATTATGCCCGAAAAGTCCGAGTGCTCTGGCGTACGACATCCTGACATGGTCTCGGCGACGATATTGTCGTCGCTGTTCTGCCGGGTTAAGGGTGCCGACGGAAGAGCTGAACTGTGAACGCTGTCCACGGGGCCATTATTTGGCGTGGCAGCCTCCGAGTCTCCATCATTCCACGAGGTGCTGCGGCTCGAACGCTCCAGGGACATACTCTGCAACCTAGACGTGAGTGCTGCCGGGGGGACCGCCGTGCTATGGCTGTGAAGTAATGCTGCGAGATTCTCGACCGATCCTGCGCGAGAGTGGCCGTACAACGGGCTCGCCATGCCAGCCGGCGTCTGCAGGCCCGTGGGTTCCATATCTTCGTAGAGCTGGTCTAGTGTATGTTCGTCGTAGCTTGGAGGAGGAGCGGCAACCACATCCCCAGGCGTGGTCCCATTAGGCATCTGCCTCACCAGGTTGCCCTCTTCATCCAATGGCATGTTGGGGGAGATGAAGATCGAAACAGGCAAGGTTGCGCGAAGTTCCGAAATATGCCCATCTGGGTTGTGCAGAGCGAGCACCACCTTCAACTTGTGGCGCACCTTGATTCCGTGAGCGTTGACATCCTGCACACATTTGCCTAGCGTCCGTGGCAAGTCGAGCCCTGTGTTCATGACCCATCCTTCCTGTCCAGTATCCTCGATGACATCTTGCCAGTGCTTCTCCCTCTCGATCGGGATTTTCCAGACCGATACTTCCCGTTCCTTCTTGTGTTCGCGGATACCGTAACCTGAATGTGACTGAATCATGAACTCGTGAACCTCCAGCAGTCTGATGGTGATCTCTCCTAGCTCCAGGCCCTTCAAAAGAGGCGTAAACCTGGTTTGCAGAGGAATCGTGCTGCCAAAAACAACAGCCTTCTTGGGAATCATGATTGAGTACTCAACCTTGTTTGGCCAGATGTTTTCCACGCTCATGGTGTGAAGAAATTCTAGGGTAGACGGGTCGAGTGTTCGGATGATGCGCAGACGTTTGTAGGCGTGGAGATCGTAGGCCAGCTTGCCTCGTGCTACCGTAGCCTTAAGTTTGTAGGTGAGACTCGCTTCGCGGAGACCCTCGACACTCTCAGTCATGTCTCCCGGCAGCATCAGCTCAAAGGGCCATTCATAGTTTCCGGCGGGTAGCGTAACACCCCTGGTCATGAGGCCATTGGGGCTACTGATGGACTGATTTTCAGCGCCGATGCCGACGAAGGGTTTCCATCGGTGTGAGTATATCGTCGTGGTGCGGTCGATCTTGTGGTTCGATATTCCGGCGGCGGTAACTCGAGGGTCGTTCCAGCTGGGCAGCACCTGTTAGCTTCCATCTGACATTTGAACTCTGGGCTCCACTCTGTGTACTTACCTCATGCGCAGAGTTCCTGTCAGCCTTAAGTGGACGTCCTCGATCTTCAGCGGCGCTGGTAGACATAGGACGACGGTGCCTTGCAATAGTTGGCCAGCAGATTCGTGCTCATTGCCGCGGAAGACGATGAAATCGTTCTCGAGTCTGTGTTGGTTTTGGTTAGCCGCCGTCTTGGGCACAAAGTCAAAATGCAAACGGCGGGCCGCGGCGTCAAGGCATACCGGATGTCAAAGTAGGTGTAGGCATGCTTCCCTGTCACCGAAGTGAAGGGATTGGTAAACGGCATGGCCGGCTTGTGGAGAGTGCAGCGATACGGGTGTGGCCTGGCGATGTGTGGGTTTGGTGTTGTCGGAGAGACAATTGCGAAAGGCGGTGGATATGGCCAAAAAATATGTTTATTTTCGCATCAATGGCAAAGCTCGAAAGCGAGATGTAGGGATGTAGTGGTATGCGGCTATTAGGTAAACAGACGTAGTGGCGACGCTATGAGCGATAACGGCGCATGGTATTGGGAAAGAGAAAGAGGTTGCTTTATGCAATGTCGAGAGAGTAGGTATAGTCAGGGATAGATATGGGAGAGAGGGCAAGCAAACGAGAGAAATGGGCAAGCGAGAAGATACGGAGGTAAAAAGAAAGGATGACGAGTTAGACACTCGAGGAAAAATAATGACAAGATGCAGACGTGATGGATCCGCCGAGGTACCAGGAAGGGCGGGCCAAAGACTCTTGCAGAGAACAGACTCTAGAAAGGGACAGGGATGGGAGGGCGAGTCAAGTGTGGATAAGGCGGAAGAGAATCATAGGCCGATGGGCAATAAGATGGGGATCGTGATGGGTCTGGAGGATAGGCGGAATCGCGGGAATGGCATGCCCTGTTCTCATTCATGTTCACCTTCTCCGTTGCCATAATATCTCCACTCTTCAGACTGTTCCAGGTTGGGAAGTGTCCCCTTTGGTCACCTCGGCTGGGACCGTGAAAGAGGAAGGCTCCATGTTTAAAGAGGAGCCATCCGGACCTACCTCCTCAACCTTGGACTCGCCCACTCACGACCACTGCATGGGCGCAATCCTCCACTGCGTGGAAGGTCGTAACGGCCACTGAACAGGCGATCACTCGGGTGACTGAAAGCAGCAACCAAAAACCTCAGATATCGATGAGGGAGAGATGGTGCCTCTGCCTCTACCACTGCATACTATGTATAAGTGACTGTGTTGTATACCAATGTACCGGGACGAGAGACGACTGCGTTCAGGAGCGTGACTAGGAGGATGCTACGCTTCTGTGTTGTCAGATGTATCAGGACCAGGTCGAAAAGGTACTCCGGCTGCAGATACTACCGACTTCGAAAACAATGGTACACTAGCAGCGTGGGTTGCCATCCACACCATCTGTCTAGCGACATATGGACATGATACACTACCTGCATCCCAGCCTGCCACCCGATTATGGGCGGTGTTCCATTTACAACTTGAGCTTGATAAGTCTATCAAGTCGGAGAGCTTGTTGGGATGGTATTGACGCAATGGATTAGCGCCATCTGTCACTGAGACAGTTGGTGATGGGCATGGCCACAAAGACACATGAGACTGAAACCTATCGACCACTGCCCTGAGACGGAATGGCATCGGGATATTGGTGGGGGCATGTCGATAGCGTCATTCAGGATGGATGGGCTTTCCGTGCACCCGGTCATTGCTGGGCTGAGGTAGAAGTACCCAGGAGTACCTGCGCCTGCAGGGAAAAAACGGAATGTCGAAAATCGCGAGGGAAGGGTCGAAAGAGAAAGGCTGCGGGACCTGGGCGCCAAGAGGTCGCTACTCGGTAGGGTTAACTCCAGCTGCTGTAGCTTTGACACTAACAGCAGCATGGAAGACGGTCCCTTCTTATTCCCACGTCTCACACACCGAAAGCTACTATGTATATCCCTCTTTGCGCATGAACATACGAGATGTTCCATACTCTTCCCTCAAATGCTCACATAATCCCATGATATTATATGATTGTTAGCGCTCGAAATTCCACCAGCACATTGGTGCCAAAAGCTCGGCCTCGCTGATTACCGAGTCCTGCGGACTCACGAACCTTGGTCAGCTTCTAGAACGACTATAAACGAAACCTAAAAATGCCCCCCACGCCGGTAGTACACTAGGTAGAATACTGGATAGGCTCATGGGAGAGGTACACCGAAAGTTCTCCCAACTGGGTAGGATGGACACCACAACAAGCGACGACACCGGCAAACGACGCCGCTGAGACCAATCAAAGGTGTCTGTCATTGCCATCACACGTTGGCGAAGCGAATCTCGATCCGTTTTGATAACTGTTGGTCACAAGCTAAGTTGATGATAAGAAGTGCCAGTTGGGTTCCAGAAGCCCAACTCATTGAGCTCTGTTTGTTACAGCTAGTATGAGAATGTGTTGGTGATTCTTTCCCTCAATTCTCCCCGGCATTGAACCTCTCTCTCGGATCTATCTGGGTACCTCTAGAATGGTGATCATGGCGCCATTGACGGAAATTCGAATCAGCCCATCAGATGCAGGTGTCAGTCAAGCAGGTCGAGGCATCAGCCGTTTTTGCTTTGCGACGGGGTTCCATCGGCAAATCAGACAGCGAGCAGACCTGTCCGGTACGCATGAAATGGCAGGTCCCCAACATGTGCAATATCCACAGAATGAAGGTCGAGCCGTTCGTCTGCAACTCTGGCGTCGGATGCCGGAGACGGTCCAACGAGAAGTCCCGATTGCCGCAAAGTGGACTGGTGGGGCGGGCCCTCCTTGTCCGAAACGCGGTAGACGATGCCGACTGACGCCGAGCCACGCGAGCCTCACTGAAGCCAGGAAACCGCTGCTCCACGGGCAGTCTAGATTGCTTCCAGGCTTCAGGGCTCCATTTGATACAGGAACCAGATCTCCCCGGTGTTGCCTGTTCGTCCCTTCCTTCAACCCACGGCGGCGAAGAAAGTAAGCATAGTGTCTAGTAGGTACCATGGAACGAGCATTTTCATTGACAAATGGAGGGAGCCATTGATAGCCGACAACGGTTGTTTGATCTTGTTCCTTCCAAGAACAGAAGTCAGCACCAACATAACATTTTCCGACCATCGGTGGCCTTGAGACTCAGAGCCGATTGGCCCTGGAGTTATCACTGCCGCACTTGTCGATCTCCCGGGCGTTAACCTTCAAAAGCCAAGACGAGGCAAAGCTGGAAGCGAATTCCAACCAAGATCCAGATCCGTCGTAAACACGAGCGGCCCGAACAAGTTTTTTCTTTTCAATCATCCACTCTAGCCGGCCCTTTTCCTCCACTGAAACCTCCATATCAGAGTCCTGTCCCATACAGATGCTTGAGTCATTATACCGCAGCAAACACAAAAAGAGCCCTGGATCAGAAATTTCTAAACACACCGCCAGATGTGGGCGAGATGCCTCCTGCGTTGTGCAGGTGGGGAATATGCGATAACCCTCAGAAGCTGAACTTTTAGGCCAGATGGCGCCCTCCTACTATTCACGCTCACACCCGGGACTCTTTTGAAGAGGCTCTGATAAGCTCCAATACGGTATCACGCCATAGGTAGGTGCCCTTTGGGTCCATGGCCTCTCGCCGAGGATAGACCCGGCGGAGTTACGGGGTGTGAGCCTTAAGCCTTTGATGCTCCCGTCGTTGCCGTTCTCGTCAGCCCTACGAGAAAAAACTTGAACTTATAAGGGGCCGCATGGACGCAATCGAAAAAAAGCATTAGCCACGCCCCTTCAGTGGGCCACCGGCGAACTGCCCCGGGCTACGTTCCAGGATTGCGGAACACCACGGGCGATACTACAATACACTTGCAGAACTTGCCACTACTTGCAGGTGTACATACCAAACACCAACAGTATCGTACACTACATGAGGCATCATGCAAGTTCATCTTCGGCCCTTCTTTGACGGCATTTGCCCCTGCATTGCACTACAATCCCGTCCCACTGGCATGCTTCGGGTACACTATCTCACTGTCTGGTAGTCCATCAACTAATCACTTCGTTGAATTCGCAAGCACGGTCAATGTGTCGGGCTGTTTGCGGCGTCTATTGAATGGCCTGCTGTGGCATCTCTTTGCCGTCGCTTATCGAGCAGCTCCCTTCCTGTAACCGGTCCACAGATCTCGCTGCGATCTAGACGCAGCATGACACCTAACCGTTGCAATTGATATTTCTGAACGGAGAACCGAGCTTTTAGGTACTCTCTGGTGTGTACTCTTGACACCTCCATGCATCATCGGCCGACTCTTCCAACTTTGTCATGAGAACCGGCATTCCAGTCACTCAACTCCCGGTGGCCGGAGTTTAAACAACACCGATGTTTGCACGTGCAAAGTTTCTGGTATAAAGCCGCTCACGGCACAAACGTAACGTTCGACTACCGACGGACCATGGTCCAAGACCATTACCGGAACGTACCCGTTACCGCGGCGGGGGTCGGACCCACCTTCTCTTTGGTTGCAAGCCCGAGTCCAATCTTTACCATTCATTGAAGCATGTGAAACCGGCGTGTCTTTCAACAACGAAACAACGACCAAGGACGAGCTTGAGCCAGCCAGCCACTTGGGTCCTTCCTTAATTCTGTCTACATTACAGCAAGTACGTATTTTTGTATTCTGTCTCCCAAAATCGGAATCACCCGTTCGGCAGCCGGAAACTGTCTAGTGTAGAAACATGTGCAGGCCTTTGAACCTCCTATTGGCCCGTCTCATCACATGTTTGTGATTCGCGTGAACGGAACAACAAAACCAACCTCGACACCCACCCACTCAAGAGAAGTGATGATCCAAAGAGCCGGTGTTATTTCCGTCCCGTCCTGGCCCTTACTTTGACGTACATACGTGTACACTACACGTTACAGGACAAAACCAACCCAGCTGTTATGCATGGAAGTGTTCCAGAAGCCCACCATCCTACTAACACACACACACACACGCCCACACATACCCGGTAATGGCTTGGCGTGCGATATCGCAGGCTCGAAGGAGGTGATGCTTTCTGATATACGTGATGTGAAATTCACTTTTGACTTGGAGAATGTGATGGAATACGATTTATGACGAGTGAGATTACCTTATTTGAAGCTTGGTTGGATTACGAACCCCTCTTTTTTCGTCCGCTTGCTTATCAATCGAGTGATTAGCAAAGGGTCTGAACTTGAAAAGTGGCAAACCTGACTGCGTATAGAAAGCTATGGAGGGTTGGTTGCAAGGGAAGAGAAGGTTTTTGAAGAAAAGGAAACTGGGTACGAAGCCTACCAGAATTAGAGCGAGGTGAGCAATAAGAAGAGTAACCTATCGGTTTTATCTGCTTTATTCCTTCATCGTGACGGGTGCGTGATGGTGATGATTCATGACCGCGGCATGGTGGTGAGCATGTCATTTTGACCGTCGGTATAAGATCAACAATATATGTGACTGCTCAGCCTCCACCACTTGCGTCAAACTCGTCAAGTGAAATATTATCCCCATCTCAGTAAAACAACGCAGGAAGCTCGCTCCATTATCTAAGCGCCGCATATCAAGGTTGGTCGGTTGGTCGGTTGGTCGAACAGATTCGACCTTTCAGTGGACATGTGGTAAGATCATTATATCGCGAACCATACCACACAACAACTTACCGCACCAACCCGGACGAAAAGCTGGAGCATGTGATTAATTGTAGGTAGACACATTCTGAGGCACGCCTACTTCATAACAACGATGTATATCGGGTTGTCTCATGCTCGGAGGCAGGATATATATCACAAATATCACAAAATAGACCCTCGCGAAAATAAAATCGAAAATATGTAAAAACACATCACACATGAAGGTAACCCAGATCTCAGAACCAAAGACCGGTAGTCTAGCCTTTTCCCATGCATCATCGCGATCACCTCCAGGGCTCAAGTCATAGTAGTATTGTCATCCTCTGTGATCTGACCATGGTAGTATAGCCCGCTCGCGAGCCTGGCTCTTCCTGGGGTCGCACGACTACGGCATTATTATGCCCGTCATATGCCGTGGCACATGATTTCTTTAGTGAATGCCATCTACGAACACTACGCACCCTTGCTATTTGAAAGGCGTTATTCCCTGGAACAGATCTTCGTGCTATAGGTGATCTGCATGAGGGCAACGAAAAGCGACACATGGTGATGGTGCCTTTCATCGAGGTCATACAACAGAAATAGTCTGGCCCCCCTTACTCACCGGTATATATATGTAGCTTATATTGCAGTTTGTATACAACCTATGCTCTTCTCCGTATCCTTAGTACACTTTGAGTCTTGATTATTGGACTGCCGAGCTACGTCTCTTTTTCGCTTTTACAATTTATGCTGATAATAGTGCTACTAACACTCTTTGTTGCCAGCTAAGATACCCCAACACAGAGAGATTGGGACGCATAGATAGTGCAAGAAGCAAGTACCCAGGATTTTACGGTATTCCTCATGCGAGCCTACCGTCAAGATGGAGATATTTCAGTAACAATGTTGGTTAATTATTTTTCATTAGAGTTCAGTCAGGTCCAACGTCTTCCTGCTTGCTTTCCAACCAAGTGCTGCCGTAAAGTCTGGCTCGACTCAATATCGGCCTTCTCCCTTCCGCTGAATCCAAATGGTTCTCAACCACAGGGACTTCACTACATTGCTGAGCCTCCGTCTTCATGAAAGTTCCAAAAAAAAAAAAAAACGCCCAAAAAGAGATGTAGAAACGCAGAGACAAGAAAGTAAACCAATTCCATGCATGTGGTCGTTAGAAAAGGGAACGCCGAGATAAGAAACGAATCAAAGATAGCTCAAGAAAGTCGTAAGGGCCAATCAACGTAGCAGCCCTGGTTTTACCAAATAGGGTATCCGCTCATGTGGCTTGTGTTGTGGTTCTCTTCATGTGCTTCCGCACGCGGATGTGTTCAAAAGTTCAGGCTGATTCCCCGAGGACTCATCGTAGGTCGTCTGTCGCAGCCTCTCTGCTTGGGTATATCCACTTCTTCTCCTTACTCGATCATCTTTACGTAGTTGCTCGGGAATGTGCCGTGCCTTGTGCCAATCATGCCAGTCCTATGGAGCACGTTAGTACTATGCATGCCATCAATATGCCAGGATGTGTACTTACCACCAGTCGTTATCGCTATCGGTTTTCTTGAGAATGGTGATAATCTCGCCCTTTTGGAAACCCAAATCTCCAGGTTGGTCCGCATTAAATGTGTAAAGAGCAACGGCCTCGTTCTTCTTCATCAAGGCTTGTTTGCTCGCGTAGTTCGGCTTAGGCGCAGCCGGACGCCCCGGACCAACCTTCTTGTCGGCGGCCCCCTGCTGAGCCGCTGCCGCCCCGTAGCCGCCGCCAAATGCACTTCCATTAGTATCGTATTGTACCGATGATCTGTTATTCGAGAAGCCTCGAGGCTGCTGGTCGTACACATCATCCTGCCACGTGGAAGCGCGCTTAGGTCGGCCAAACTCATCATGTGCTTGTCCTCCTCCCGATGCACCATGACCGACATCGCGGGTCTGGCCCTCGCCGTAGGCATTTCCTGTCCTGTTTCCCCATACCACGCTGTCATGGGTGTTGTCGTAGACGGGCTGATCGTTATACATCCGGTCGTCGAAGGACCCAGAGGACATGCCAGCAAAGGTCCGTGAGTTAAGAATGCTGAGAAGAGGAGCGGCCTGCGGCGGGGGGCGCTCGGCTCCCGAAAGGAGCTCCTTGGCGGAAACCGGACGACCATAGAGCTTCGCATTGGCGTCCTTCCGCTCTATTATCATAGAACCTTCGAGAGAGACACCCGCAAACAAGCCCTTGGTCTTGGAGTAACTGAAGATGCCAGCTACGCTTCTCAGCGAGGCGGCTCCAGCGGCCTCGGCATTTCTACCGATAGGCCCCGCGGCGACCGAAACATTACCACCAAGTGTAAGTGATCCAGCCTGGGCGAAGGTTTTTACGGCGCTCGCATCGTTGAGAATGAAGACGAAGTCTGTAAGCTCGAAACCGATCTGACCGCCGAAGCCGGCACCACCCGTCGCAATGGCGGTGGGTGCAGACCAGCTACCGTCGGGGAGGCGGGCGACTACCAGACCGCTACCGAAACGGGCAGAACCGAGGAAACCAGCCTTGATGACTGTGAGGATAGCAAGACCCTAAGACAATGTTAACCACCTGGTAGCTTTTATCGAGGTTCCAGGGTGCTGTTTCGTACCTTGGCGTTCGCGAGCACAGATGGCGGTATCACCTTGTCGGGACCAAAGGCTTGTTTAGGCTCGATGAACGAGGCGAGAATCTTGCCGCATTTCTTGCATTCCGCTGTTTATAGACGTGTCAGTTGTCGGATTTGGCAAAGCAAAAGGGACAGGGTTGCGGGGTCAGGCTCTGAACATCACGGAAACTCCGGGACACAAACTTACACGAAAGAGACGACGGAAGAGGGTTGTTGATACCCATATTGGTATGTCGAAACGGGAATCCCTATAGCAGACTGGCGCGGGTCTTGAAGTGCGAGGGCGTGTAGAGTGGGTGTGGTGAGAAGTGGTGGGATGCGAAAGCGATAGCAAAGTATTAGGAAGAAAGAGAGGGAGTTCGTCAGAGTCAGTTCTCGGGAAACACTGGCCGATCAATGCTCTGCAGGCAGACTGGCAGGCAAGCAAGTAAGCAGGTCAGCCCAGTCGAAATCCTTGGGAGACTGGAATTCAGTGGTGTAAATGCGAGGTTGGTACCTGGGCGTCCCCACACCAGCGGTTTGTCACGAAGCTGGGGAGATCCTTGGGGTCACTTTTGTCCGTAATGGATGATCTTCTTTCGGAAAGATGGATTTTTCAAGGGTAATTGTTTGACGGCCAAGTTCGTTCTTTGCCCTTTCACAGATTGAGCTATCGTGAGCAAAGTTAAACATAAGTATTGGCAGACAGGTGGAAGTACCTGGAAATGGAGAAGCGGGAGCTCGTGCCGCGCGTCATGTGAGAATTGCAGCGCTGGACCCTCGCAAAAAAGGCATCCATGATGCACTGGGCAAGCGCTGGGCAGTGCAGTTGCTCCTGTCCTGCATTGAAAACCCCTTGTCCAGCGGCTGTTCGTCGTTGACACCGACGGGCTAGGACCACACCAAAAGTCGGGTACGGTGGACCACGAGCAATGGAAGACTCCAGCAGGCTCCACCTAAAGAAAAGGACCCCGCATTGGCCATGCAAGTGCTTTACGCGCAGCCACACGTGAAACATAGAAACTGACATCATTCGCGATTGTGAGGGGCCGTAGGTGTGGCTGGTGTATACATCAACAAGCCGACCCGCCCCCGTTTCCCCATCATGATGGATGCATGATCCCGGTGTCCTTTGTGTGCGTCTGGAACCTGCTGCAACCCCCTTTCGATTATCTCCATAGCACCCGGCAACAACACCAACCTCAACACCACGGCTTCATCACGACAACAGACACTGCGAGACACCGAACTCTACACACGCGCGTGTGACACAACACGGCGTTAGACCTATCATATACGAAATCCCGCCATAATACCGAGTCCCTAATAACACTCAACTGCGACGACTGAACCTCCAAACACGGCCGCTGAGCGAGCCACAACAAATAATAACCAGAGCCACACCCGCAGCACAAACCCAATTTTCCATCACCAAAAATGTCCGCAACCTACGAACGCGAGCGCCAAAACAATGCGCGCCTCGATGAGCTAGCCTCCAAGGTCTCGGCCCTGCGAGGCGTGACCATCGACATTTACGACCAAGCGCGCAACCACGAAGTCATTGACCAAACGGTACGGTTCCGTTTCCTTTTACTCAGCACAAAAATGACCAACTAACGCTCCTTACTAACAAACAACAGACCGATACCTTCTCCTCCATGGGCTCTCAACTCAAAGGTTCTGCCACCCGCCTAGGCCGCATGGCCGCGTCGGGAAACAAGGTGGCCATCCTCAAGCTCTCGGGCATTCTTATCGGAGCCTTTTTGGTTATTTACTATCTTTACCGGATTTTCCTGGGTTAAATGATTGCCTTTTGGGGAAAGTTACGACGTGTGAGGTGACTACCTCGCTGCAGCATCGGCTGAATCCCGACTACATACCTGGAAACGGAAGCAAAAGAGGGATGTTCTGTGTCGGGTGATTCGGTCAAACACGGAAGAAAAGATGGAGAGGGCGGAACGATTCAAATGATGACAAGTGGGATGCGTTGATGAGCGCATGCGTGCGGATCCTGGATGGGACGGGAAAACGATGCCCGGATGGCTTGTTGGGCTTGGGTCATGGTGGTTTGCACTCGCAATTTCCAGCAGACTCGCTTCGGCATCGCGAAGAGGAGGGGTAACGGAGGTTGGAGGTTACGCAGGACCGACGCGGTGTCGGTCAGTGAGGTGCGACTTCTTGGTTTGAGGACTGGGCTTAATGTTTTCCACTTATCTCGACAATAGGCGGGTAGATTCCAAGGCATAGCAATGGCGTTAACGGTTGGGTATCATTGGATTTAACTTGGGGACCGGTTTCAGGCACTTTACAATGTTGTTCGTACACATGAACCAGAAATCGTTATCTCTCAGTCCTATGCTGCATTTGGAATTCAGAATCCGACACGCATCTTACACGATAGGGGGGAGATCCTTGCGTGAAAGCTCATTACTTTTGCCCTACCAACGAACAACCACCTGTTGTCTAGAACGTAATTATACTAAAACAGAACATGACTTGCTAATGTGTAAATATGACTATGCGTGGTCCACCTATCCCCCAATTTGTCTTTGCATGTACCATCATTTGTCTAGCTTTTTCGGAAAGATCAGACTCCCACCAGCATAATTAAGGCCCACTGCTAGTTGAAAGCATCCCCTTCCTATTTAATCATGTATTTGTAGGGTGTGCATCAGGCGTGAGGACAGGGGCGTCTCACAACAAAAACAAAGACCCCTATCCCCTACACCCGGTTACCCCTGAACCCCAGACGGGATATCCTGTTGAGATACCGGTCTAGGCCTTCTATTGCCAAACGTTTGAGAACAGATCGTCACTACCGCCAAACCCGGTGGCTGGCTTGCTTCCGCTGGTTGCAGCCGGTGTAGTGGTGCTGCTCATCCAGCCCCCAAACTCCTCATCCGCGGCCACCTTGGGTGCAGGCGCAAAACCGCCCGAAGCACTGGGAACAATAGGTTGGCTTGCAAAGGAGCCGCCGGTAGTGGAGGCAGTGGTGGTGCTGCTACCCCATCCGAAATCGTTGGAAAGAGGGATAGAGGTGACAGGTGCTGGCTTCGGCGGCTGGGGAGCCACAGGCTTAGGGGGCTCAGGGGCGGAGGCCCACTCGTTGGAACCCCACACGCCTGCATCTGACCAGGCATTAGAGGTCGAAATAGAGGCAAGAGGGTTTTGTGTTGTTGACGTAGCGGCCGCAGGGGCGGAAGTGGTAGCGGCGGGCTTGGAAAGGTTGAATGCGGAGCTGAAGTCAGATGAAGGCTTTGGGGCAGCGGCCGGGGGAGGAACGGTAGTGGTGGTGGCTGGCATAGAGAAGTCGAACAAGTCACTGAGGGCGGAGGAAGTTGGAGCGGGCTTAGAGGGTGGCGCAGAAGGAGTTGAGGAGAAGCCCAGTGGGCTGCTGATAGATGTCTTAGGCTGGTGGGAGGATGTGGCGGGTTTAGAATCAAAGAAGCTGCCGCCGCTTAGGCCGGAGAAGGCATTGTTGCTAGTCTGAGACGAGGGTCGGGGAGATCCAAAGCTACCGAGACTGGCGAAGGCATCGTTTTGAGCGGGCTTGGGGCTAACGGCTGGTTGGCTGTTGAAACTGAGGCTGCTGAAAGCATCATTAAGCCCACCAAAAGCATTCTGGGTCTGGGACATATTCGGGGAGGACATGCCGCTCAGTCCACCAAAAGACCCGGAGTGAGAGTGTGAGGGCGCGGCTTGCTGCTGTGGGCGAGGTGCGCTGGCATAAAGAGAAAGGATGGACTGCTTCAAATCAGGACGCGACTGGCTTGCACCACCTGAAGTACCCGTCGTACTAGCGGGCCTTGGGGGCGCTGCAGGTTCCGTGCCGAAGAAATCCAGTCCCAAAAGCGAAGCATTCGAAGTCGTAGCCTTGGCCGGGGCAGGCTCGGCCTTTGGAGGGACCTTCGAGGCTGTTGGTCCGGTAGTGCTGGCTCTAACCGGAATCGGGTCGGCACCTATGAGGTCGGGTACGGGGGCCGGGGCCTGAATAGGGGCGGGGACAGATCGTGAGGTCGCAGTCGGAGTGCTGGACTGGCTACGAAGAGATCCGTTTCTCTCCAGAGTCTGCTTCTCCTTCACCACGCTCAGAGGGACGTCATCGTCGCCCTCAGCGTCCAGTGTCGAGGGATCGGGCATCGGGCCATCCATTACCCATCTCTTTAGCTCGTATTTAGTGCGAATAAAGTTCTCGATTTTCGATTCGGAGGGAACATGGCCCTGAGCAAGCTTGGCCTCCCAGTACTTGTTGGCGCGGGCATTTCCCCAGTTCAAGACGCTCTGTAGCTGCTCGTCGGTCCAAGCATCGAGATCAACGGACTTGACACGGCTGATATGTGTACCCATTCCACGGTGAATGCCCGAGCAGCGAATGCAGATAAAGACGCCGAGGTTCCAGCTGGCCCATCGTGGATCTGTGTGTATGCATATTCTTAGTAAAGCGGTCTGGTGCTAAACACCTAGAGGTTGTACGTTGACGTTGTTGGATTTCCCAGGAGAGACTTACGCTTGTTGCGCTTGCAGTCAGCGCACACCTTGTTGGCCTCGAGTTTCAGGAGCGACTTGATGGTGTTCTGGTTCTTTGCTGCCCGTTCGGCAGCGGGGTTCGGTGGGCGTCGAGACATGGCGATGTATAGGCAGTCGACAGTTGCTTTGGCCAAAGGGTTTGGACAGAAAAGGGAATCGGGACCGGTTGGGATTTGGAGGACGGGTTGCTGTCTAGTCTTTGAAATAGTCGGATTCAGTGAGCTGTTGGTTGTGCGAGTTTAAACAACGACCTACAGAAAGGAATGGCTGGCTCGGACATATCAATGCAGAGACTCAGGAGTTGTCCTCCACTGCAATGCGCCCAGGCCCCGTCAACGGTGGGACCGCCACTATCAAGGCCCGACAAGGGTCAGCTGGCGCTGTTTAGACAACACCGCCCTTTGATCGAACCTGGGGTGTTAATCGCACACCAACCTGCAAGCCACCTGTGGCTTGGAATAATAAAATGGTACTTCTTTTACATCAACGAGATACTTCATCCTTTCCCAAGCTTCTCTACAGTGATATACCAGCACTGCAGCGTTGGGGACACTTGACGGATTTGGTAGGCGGATATAGGGCTGTCTACTGCATCGGCAGTTATCTCTTATAAGGCTTTTTCATCGTATAGTGAGTAGGAGTAGTCGATACCTTCCATCGGATGTCGGAGGTCACAGCCGAGCCATGAGAGAGATCAACTGCCGCTTTGTTTTCCATACCTTGACGGGATCGAGTCTCTGACGCAAGACTTCCCGATCCCAACTTACAGCGAGAGGACACTAACAACACCCCGTCATCGCTGGGGCAACTTCTCAAGACATGCATAGAAGCTGCAGATAAATCCATATCGGTTCGATCTCATTCGCATGTGATTTGTAATTCCTAAATTCCTGACCTCACAGGACAACTCCAATTGTAAATATCAAGCATTCTCATATTCTCTAAAAACACCTAAACACTTGGATTTTTCCAACAATCCAGCAACAACAGTTGACCTTCATGCGTTACTATCCCCAAGCCGTCAACTTCCTCCGCATCCTGCGCACCTTGTCCACCTTCACACAGAGGCCCCGCATACCGCAGCACTCATTGTTATCAAATAGAAATATCATCCTCCTAAAGTCTTCTATGCCTACGATTCCCTTTCTCAGCGGCTTCTTCGGTTCATCCTCATCCTCATCCTCTTCCAACAAAATGCCCGAGAACTACCCCGTCCAAAAGTCCGCTGATGAGTGGCGTGCGGTTCTTAGCCCTCGTGAGTATTCTCAAGTGATTGCAGCTTAATCCAAGCGAAATCATCATCAAGCACATCAAATCACGGAAATAACTAACCCCGAAAAATCCCAGAACAATTTCGCATCCTCCGCGAAAAGGGCACCGAACCCGCCGGCACCGGCAAGTTCGACAAGCACTACCCCTCGGCGGGCGTCTACACCTGCGCCGGCTGTCATGCGCCGCTGTACAAGGCCTCGCACAAGTTCAACTCGGGCTGCGGCTGGCCGGCCTATTTCGACAGCATCCCGGGCGCCGTGACGCGGCACGAGGACCGCGCGTTCGGCATGACCCGGACCGAGATCGTGTGCAGCAACTGCGGGGGGCACCTCGGCCATGTGTTCAAGGGCGAAGGGTTCAACACGCCGACGGATGAGAGGCATTGTGTGAATAGCATTTCTTTGACGTTTAGTGAGGATGAGACGGCCGCTGATAAGAAGGAGTAAGAGTGGGAGTGGGGTGAGATTTTAGTAATCTGGATGGGATGTAGGTATGTTTATAGCGATGAAATATCAGATCGCCGTCAAGTGTTTACTCATGGGAAAATGAGTTGTATTCGGGTAGAAAAAAGAAAGAGGAAAAGTACTATGGACTTACAGCTGGGTTGAACGCACAGCGTACACGGGAGCCGGGGGCAGAATGGAAGGGAAGGGGGGGATACCGACAACCATGACCACTATGCCATTCTACCAAACCTGCCATATCTTGGATGGCGCGGGAATTAATACACATACCATGCAGGAGCTGGGGTGTGGGATGTGTCCTTTGGGCCTCAGACAAGATGAAGAGTTGGGATGGAAGACAGGCGGGAGGGCAGCATGTCAAACATGATTCGCATTGAGCAGCAAATCCTCATGATGACGGGAGTGGGCAATCAGGGCTTGGCCTGATCCGTCGGATGTTGGTTTTAGATCATTGTATTCTTAGATATTCCCCTCCGTTTGCCTACATAAACGTAACCATAACACATAGACAACGATATTCTCCTCTGCCAAAACCCCATTCAGGATACCCTATTATACAGGATGCGATCCATCTAGCCGCAGAAGCCCGTCCAAATAGCAAGACCCAACGCAGGGAAAGCTGATCATCCGACAGCCCGAGTGCTCAACAAGATCATGGAAACCCACCAGAAAATACTCTCTCTCCCAGACTCATTGTAGGATCCGGTAAGCTTTGAGTGGTTGCTGTAAGCGAAGATGAGGCAAGATCTGTGTGAAATGTGTTGACGGTCGATCTGCTCAAGAAAACTGGAGAAGGCGCACCCAGAGTGGAAGTCTCTGCAGAAGAGGGAGGTATCGCTACCGGATGGGGTGTACTTTGAGTCACAGGCCTTCCTGAGATGAAAGGCACTCTTGGGGGAAAACGTGGCCCTACTCCAGGTTTGGACAGTCGGCGGAGCGTACCGGTGCCGACTGGCTGCCCTCTCATTCTCTTCCTAGTGGCGGAGGCTACCACATTCAGGTCTAGATTACACACTCTCGCATGTCTTATCCAGATTCTGATCTTCTCCCTAAGGTCGAGTACCAAATCACTCTCTTCTTTGCCCCTTCTGAGGTGCTCGTTCCATAGATGAGTGGCTTTCGTCAAGCCAGCCATATACTGTTTGGTGAATTTTGCTAAGCTGACCTCCGGCCTGGGTTGCAGTCGCTCGACAGGGGAGTCGCGATCGAAATCTGCGGCACCTGAACTCAGCCTCGAAGGCTGCCTAGCAATTCTTGGTCGTGCCTGGTAGGTGGGCGCTGCTTCTCCTACAGGAAAGATGGAAGTCTCCGGCTTCTGGACCGAGCGATGGGGTTCGATTTCATTCTGCTGATTTTGTAGACACCTTCTCCAAGTACGCCGGGAACTGCAACGGTACTTGGTGAGCGTTGCAGGAAGCTTCCGGGCACCAAGGCTTGTTGCGGTTGCTGAAGGTAAAACGGTTGACTAAGGTACTGGATCGGCTGGGTAGTCGCCAAAAATTCTGCATTGCTCATTGAATGCATTTGGTGTGGATTGGTGGTGTCCATAAGCAGGCCAGGATGTGCGTTGGTGATGTATTTTCGGTGTCGCCTGCTGGATGACTTGGTCACAGTCAGAGGATTGATTTGAGGAATGGGGGGAAGGCCCTGCTTCTCTCTCCTAATCCAGAAACTGTGGCCGAAGCCATGCCTGCTGGATGCCATGGTCACTTCCCACCGCTTCATTTCTCTCAGAACGTCTTCAAAGTCGGAAGTGCTTTTCATCGAGAACAAAAGTGACGCCTATCTCTCATTCAAGTTCATCTGTGGTTAGCCGTGTCAGAGTGCATCGTGTCATGGTTTTCAATCACTCACCCTTTCTGGCCCTATAGGATACCAAAACATGAAGGCATGCTCAGAAGGCGAACATGCGGCGGTACACTGCGAAGGATGGTCCCTGGTTTTGGCAGCTGGGGAAAAGTCTTCCAGATCCAATTTCACCTATGATACCAGGCTTAGAGCAACACTTCATGACGGGAGAAAATGGGTGAGAAGACTAACCAGCTCATCTGCTTTGTCCTTGACATGTATCATCAGCTGGTGGTGCCAGATGGGCATCTGAGAGTTTACCCCAGCATTGTAGGGCAGCCCACGCGATCGATCGAGGTGGCTTTTGAGGACTAGTTGTGGATCTTTGAAATTGTTGTGGCGCTGATTGATGAAGACATCTTCAAGCTCAAACCGGCGCAAAATCGGACTGATGGTTACCGCTGTTTGCTTTTTCGGCTTCGTGCTCTTCGAGGACGCCATCTGGATTCCTACAGTTCTGGTAGCAGCCAAGGCGACAACATGCCGGGATGGGAGCGGCTCGAGGTCTGCGTAACTACAGTCCAATTCCAACTGCTAGGCACAGCCGTGGAGAGAATCAAAAAAAAGAAAAGACTGGACGATGGTCGAGAGAAGCAAAGACGACGGAGAGAAGGCACTACGAACTGCCCTCCTCCTGCGTCGAGGTTTGGAAGAGAAAGAGAATTGAAAAGAGGCGGGAAGGAGCACTGCTCGAGAGTCGAAAGACCTTGGTCTCCGCTTCATCATGGAGGGATACATGTCGCAACGGAAGGTGCTCTTGGGCGGTGACTACCAGCAAACCTGGGGTTGTTCCTTCCCATGATGATTCGGTCTACAAGCTCGGTTTCAGTTTGTCCCAGAGGTACACTTTCGCAAAACAGGCCCGTAATATTTTTAATAAAGCCATGGCATCTAAGAATGAGGATGGGTTAACTCCGGGAGAAAAATGCGACATCTTCTTCAAGATTCATTGTGTTCTGTACGAGTGTCATCGGCCCATGTGGGAGGAGCTCTTGGAAGCGACTTCGGAATATACAGATGTTGTTAAGGTGCCAGTGAGAACCTTGGAGGCCAAGCAGATGGAGCTTCCGCTAGAGCAGACCTGCCACTGTGGCCCGAGCGCGATGTGCGTCAAGCGCGGCGGGGCACATGTGTCTTGGCCGCTGAACGACATTGGCCAGTGCGCTGCAGGGAATGACCTTTAGCTCTCTGTGACAGTGGGAAAAAACCGACGCCATGCCGTCAATCACTCCGCGATTTCAGAAGTGGAAAGTTCGCAAGTGGCAGACCAGCCTCGCGTCGCATTCCCCGGGTCATCGCGACAATTTTAGACATTCGAATTCGATCCCAACATTTACTAGAGACACCGGCATCTGCATTACAGCCACAAATTCCAATACCAGGACATCATTACGTTACATTCGACCAGCAACAGTTAGACACAAACTCCAATTGGTGCCCATTCCCATCAGTCGTAATCGCAAACGAAGCCTTTCCTAGCTCTCCCTCGAAACCGTCAGTGGGAGCCGTACTGCGGCTCGATCCGCCGGAATGGCTCCTCCGAAACCTCAACTCATGCCCGAGCATACTGTCGACCGTACGCCCGAATATGAAAAGTTTATCGAAGAACTGCGTGCCTTCCACGAGAAGCGCGGCACCAACTTCGACCCCGAACCCAAGATGGGCAACCTGACAGTCGACCTGCTCAAGCTATTCAAGCACATTGTCGAACATGGCGGATACGATAAGGTCTCGGACGAAAAGCTCATGTGGCGGAAAATGTGCGAGGGTCTGGGTCTCATGAGGCACAATGCGCCTGCCGATGCTTATACGTTGAAACAAATATTCTACAAGAACTTGGCCGCCTACGAGATCAAGACGGTCCACAATAAGGAACCCCCTCCACCCGAGATTCTCGAGTTTACTACTGCAAAAGGAGGCTCGCTCTTAACTAGAACCCTTGAGAACTTTACCGCCAGGAGCTTGAAAGGCGACAAGGAAGATTCCGGTGACGACGGCACTCCGAGTAGGGAGCGGAGTACTGTTGACACTCCCAACTCGGCTCGCGCGTCCCGGGGTCTCAGAGAAGCGCCTGCACCGAGGGTGATTTTCCATCCAGACACAAACTCAACGCGGCAAACACGACATGCCGGTTCTGCGCAACAACAACCCGCAGCCAATCCTTCCTCCAACTCCAACTCACAAAACAGCCAACAACCCCCGTCGCATTCGCAATCTCATTCTAGTACCCCCATACCCTCCCACGGCCCGCCTCACGCCCACCAAAACCGAGGAAGCGCGTCAGTTATGTACAACCCAGGTCCCGACCACAGTCACCACCTGGTGCAGAGTTTCCAACCTCCGCCTTTGCAGCCGCTGCAGCTGCGTATCGTCGATACGCCTACGAGCAATCCCGAGTTATTCAACAAGAGGCGGCGCCTTCTGAGGCAACCTGGCACGTCCAGTACTTCGGCACTGGTACGCGCCGCCCTCCCTCCAGGTAAGTCTTGTCGCGACCGCTCCCTTGATCGCATATGCTCACCAATTATAGGTAGCCTCGATGGCCCGAATATTTACGAGCGCTGTCTCCTAGCTCTCCGATCCGGGATCCGTGCTGAGCAGGCCTTTGGACTCAACCACTTGGTCAAGATTTCGTTCGAGCGCGGTGACAAGTACAAGTTTGCACAATTTAGTGGATTGGCCGAAGGCTTGACCGAGTTTGCTCTGGGCGTTGGCAGCTTATTCTACAACGTTGAATGGATCATATCAAACGACCCCGATGCCGACGACGGCGACATTGGTGAGCTCGATGGTATCAACGGTACCCTTGATATCCTAGAGCGCATCGCACAGCTCAAGCCCAAGGATGTACAAGACAACTTCCAGCCTTCAGAGTTCACCGACCACATGACACTCGTCACCGAAGCCGTCCTGACCATTCGGAATATGGTCATGCTGCCGGACAACGCTTGGTTCATGGCGGATTACGCACCGATTAAAGACCTATTATGCATTCTTCTTCACCTCCCCGACATGGATCTCACCGTGGAGCTCAAGCATTTTGCGCTGGACATCGCCGAACAAATTACACCCAACTTGGTGCTGGAATCCGACGATCCCTTGTATCAAACCCTGCTTGGCCAGCTTAAGTCTAACGATCGCGGCACGATTCTCACCGCTTTGCGAGCTATTGGTCGTATCTCGATGAACCACGCCACGGAAACTAACAAGCTTCACGATGTCCCGGTCTCTGTCCTACAGAATCTTATGGACTGGCTTCTGCTCAACGACGACGAGCTGGTTGATGCCTGCCTCGACTTCTTATACCAGTATACTGCTGTTGTCCCCAATTTGGATACGCTGATCAAGGGTACGAACGTGGAGCACCTAGTCATCCACCTGGTCCGGTTGTTGTCCCACGGTGCTAAGCGCTACCACAAGGATATCGTAGTAAGCGAGGCTCGGATCGTGTATGACCCGCCTTCCGAGCAGGTCGTGTCGATTCCTCCTGACCTTCTCGAGCGGCTGTTAACCATGGAAGAACCAGAGCGCACACATCAGTGGGTGCGATGCACATTCGAGGAAGATCCCGATGCGCAGGTGACCCAGATAGCTATCTGGCAAGCCTACAACGCGGCGTTCCTCGAGCCACTAAAACGCACTGGACGAAGCATGATAAACGCAGCCGAGTTCATCAGAAACATCAGTTCCGTGTACCATACCGCTGGTGCGCAAGTATTCCGTGAACAGGGGCCTACTGGAGAGGTCCAGAGCCGGTTCATCATAAGGGAATCCGGCCTCGTGCTTTCCCATCAGTCCCGAAAACCGTGGCTACCTGGGCTGTCAGTGGACACGGCAGCCCACCAGCGACGAGCAGCAGCAACAACAACAACAGCACCAACATATGGTGTGCGGCGCCTGGCACCTAACCACCGAGTCGATGTGGAACCACATTCTCACGCAACACCTCGGCGAAGCCCCCGGCACCGACAACAAGTTCTCCAACAAAGAAGGCACCTACTCCTGCCACTGGGACAGCTGCCGCAGGTACCCGACGCCCACCAAGCTCAACTTGATGCAGTTGATGATGCACATCAAGACCCACCTCAAGGCTGAGGAAGCTCGTCACAACGCGCTTTATCCAGCGCTTCAACCACCCCCTACTCCTGCGGCTGGCGGACCCGGCGGCGCGACAGAGCCGTTCCCCGGTGGTCCTGCTAGTGGTATGACCACTCCCGGCGGCGGTCCTGTTCAGGTAGCGCCTTCGCCTAAGAGATCCAAGACGCGCGTGATCAAGCCGGCCAGCACCATCTCATTGACGTTTGAAGAGACGGCCAGCGTACGGGATGAGAGAAACCCGAACGTGCCGCCGCAGGCGGCGGGGATCCCGCTAAGTGCGGTGCTGATTCTGAGGAATATCGCCAGGAACGTCGTTAAGACCGATGCCGAGGAGCGGTTGAGGAAGCAGAGTCGCAAGCGGTTGGGTGATGGACAGGAGGAGGATGATAATGATGAGGCTAAGGAGGAGGAGGAGGAGGAGGGAGCGTTGGTGGTGGTATCAACAGTACCATCATACCCTGGACTGGTGGTGTCGGCGGACGCAGGATGGAACGAAAGGCTGTTCCGGCCTGTGATGCCGAGGCTCTGGGAGGTATTCTGCGAGAACAGGCTGTTGGCGCCGTACATCACTAGCTTGTTCAAGCTGCTGGAGCCGGTTGAGTAGAAGCTGGCACGCTCCTGTGGCTTTGGAACTCGCCCGGTTAATGTATCATGGAGAAAGACATGAGAAAACGGCGGCGGCGGCGGTGATGATGTGCATTATTCCAGTCTATCATTAGTTGTCGGTTCTACATACCAGGTTTTCATGGTTGTTTTTGTCCTTGGGATTCTCATTCATTGATAGGGGGTGTTTTCAGACGGATGGACCATGATTGTAGCAGCATTAGAGAACTAAGATTGACCAACAATTACATTGTAGCCTACTGTAGAGGTCATTCGTTGTATGGTAATCATTTAGATTCAAGCGCTCTATTTTCATTATTAGGTTCGTTTTGCTGGATAATGCCATTCCGAAATCACGATGATAAACGTATTGGATCTCTTGTGGGTGATGCAGAACGGTCAAAGGTGAAGGCGACCAGACGGGGAGGACCTAGTTCTTGGAAACTCATTCGACCGAGTATACTTTGCCGGTGTAGGGAAGTCGGAACCAAATTTATTAGTGATGATGAAGGCGGGAATAATTTACCAAAGTAGTACGTTGAAGTTATGATGCTTGAGCGAAGAAGAAGAAGCCGTGCAGTGTGAGTTGAGGGCATGGCATGGGTTGCCGCAAGGTAAGGGAGGGAGGGATGTTGGCGGGAAATGGGGTGTACGCAATAATGCTAAGCAACAGAGACGGTTGTGTATTTTTGTACATATAAATATGAATGCGTCATGGCAAGAAAACGACCTTCATTCACATCGATACACTTATATACATACATGGTAGAGCCGATGCCAGGTTCGTGACGTTGGGGTTGATTTTATTTTATGTTAGACTACTTTTTGGCTTTGGTGTTGAGGTGTGGTATGGTCTTCGGATGGGGTGTTTGAAATTGGTAATGCAGATGGAATAGAAGAGGAGGAACACGTTTTGGAGCCAAAAGAGAGCAACGGTTCAAAAGATGGTTATTTGGGGTGGTGATTGAAACGAATTGAATTGAATGTGACTATGTCAATCCAGTCTCGTTCACCCGTTCACCGAGGGGTTCACCGCTCACCGTGTTTGCCGTTCGTGTGTTTGCGGGCCTCTCAGCCCTACCGTAAGGTGCAACACCATCATTCTGCGCGTTCTGCGCAAAAACCCACTTCATGCCCTTCCTCTCTTTTTCTCAGGACCCACGTTGTTGAGCTGGGCACCCGTGGCGGCGGGACCAGCCGAACCGCCCTTTGACATTTGCCCTTTTCAGGGTCCGACCGGGGGAACGGGGGATCGGGGGCAAGCAGTGAGCAAATCATCGTGAACTCCGTGCAAGGTCCGTGTGAGTGGAGGAGGGTGGAGGAGCCGAGCCGGGAGAAGAAGTGGACAGGTATCGTGACGTGACGGGAAAATGGCACCTAACCCACAAAGAAAATCATCGTGAACCCCGAACCGGGCGGGAACTTAGCCCTTTTTGACGTGTTTGGACCCCCTCCCCCCTCCCTCTGGGGTCCGACCTGGAGAGACGAAGACAAAACGACACGAAACGACACGGGCCACGACGGTACTGATGGCTGCCACTAAACCTAGCATTTGTGATCGCCTTCTCCTGCACCCCATGCCCATCATGCAAGCGCGAGAGCGACAAACAAGCAGGATCGTGAGCCATCCCATCCAATTTGCGCTAAGCATCGTGAAGCGAGAAAAAGGGAACTTGAAAGCGGTGGCCCGAGCGCTCCATGTGGTGGCAGTGGTCGTTAGACTAGACTGGGCGGCTCCTCCCCAGGGGTCCAACAAGTGGCGACCACCGGTGAAGCCATCGTGAAGTATTAGGGGCGCATGGCATTGGCGGGAAAGGGGTACTACGGGTGTGCCATGTTTCACGATCTTTCAATCCACCCCGGGTTCCCGACTGGTTGGATCTGACGATGGGCTGCACGACACTCAAAGCCTGTGGCGACGTTGCGGCTGAACGTAAATCAACGACATGCGATGTTTCTAATTCAGTGCAGACACGGCGCGCAAACAATTGTTAAAGCGGGAAAGTCAACAACCGCATAGTTGGCTGAAGGGATTCAGCCGTGCGGCTCCAAGGAGAAAAAGGAACCGTTTGGGATAGGAAAAAGGCCAAACTGGTCGGGCATCGATAATCAGGTAGCATTCCTGACGAGTTGATGGCAATGATACGGCTGTTATCATGTCAAGCTCTTCTAGGCTTATCATCGTTTTCGGAATGCCTTCATCAAGGTTACCGATGAACCTTTCAAGCGGTGAGGCGGTCTACGCGGCACTCCTTCAGGTATCCGGACCTCTGCTTGCACGAATTATGGTAGGACATGTCATACCCCAAGTGCGGAAGGATGCAAGTTGGTTGCACTGCGGAATGGTCTCGACTTCCCTGGGTCTGCAGGTTGAGATGCTGGGCATGGATTCCAGACTCGAACTTCTGCCGAGTATGCGAAAACAAGAAGCATCCGGCATCGGCCATTGACCGCGACGGCTACCATCTGCGTCACCGACTTCAGTGATGATGAAAGGAAGCCGGTGAGGTTCCTGACATGATGGCGGCTGTCATGTTGTTGCATTTCACCGTTTTCGATTAACAAGCGATGCATCTTCCTACTGTAAGTAGGGGACTTCGGATTTGCTCTGGACGACAAGAACGAGAATAGAGGCATACGTTCATCAACGGATCAGACCGTCATAGATGCAATCGCGCGAGCTTGGCTCTTTGAGTTTCGACAGGATATGCTCCCTTCTGGATACGACATGTTCTGCATGGTGTGTACATATTGGCGTAGATCTCTGGATCCAGTCAATGGGATGATACCGGTTTCGACCAGTGGTGCCGTCCAGCGGGAACTATTCGAGCTCGCCTAGACGTCAATGCCGTCGGGTGTGGCACATGACCAGCAAGTTCTTCTCCCGTTCTGCGTCCGAGACGGGTCCCGGAGTGCCTATGCATGGCGTAGTGATATCCAGGGGTTTCAAAGGTGACAGCCCAGGGTGAACACGAGCAGAGAGGTATGTAGAGAGGTGTGGTGGGAGGGCGGTAACCAGCTTTGACTTATGTGACGTCTAATTCAGTACTCTGGCATTGATCCGGCGGCTTGCTAGTTGACCACCTACATCAGCAGTAGCCAACCAGAATCTGAGATAGACTTTGATCAGGAATAGCGACGACATTCCGTAGCACTCAAAAGGTGTCCTGGCGTTGCCTGGCTTGCGTGTGGAGGCATTCTAGGCTCGACAGCTTTGCCGTAATTGTGCAATACGACGGGGTGGGAAAGTGGTTCCATGATACCGAGTGGAATAGAAACTGAACGAAAGGCGGGGCTTGAAGGACAATTGTCGAAGGCTGGGCTGCTGGTGAGAAACCCGAGATACAAAGTTGAAGGTTCTGTTTGGCGAAGGACCGCCGAATTCTGTGACACAAATGCCCGTTCGAAACGATCCAATGCCCAAATGCGGATTCAATCAGTACCTTACTTGCTTTGTTGTGCGTGGAAGGTACATCTTGCATTGCTGGCAGGAACAATTTGCGACTCCATCGAAGGGCACTGTTGTTGCTGTACGTGGCCAGGTTCGTGCAAATCCCAACGACGATGGCTTCTGATAGCAGCGGTGAGCCCCCGTCTCTCTGTCACAAACAAAAAGATATCGACATGAGGATTTGTAATTCTGCTAGAAGAGGTATTCCACATGTCCAGCTCCATATGAGCCAGATGTTGCTGTTTGTGGTAGCAACGGGGGTTTTGGGCAGAGCAAGATATGAGCCTGATAGTGTGACAACATGACAGTAGATGCAAAACTTGAGCACACCGCAGGCGCCACTTTCCCGATGTTGGAAAGTGCACCCCCACTCTAACTGGTCGCTTCTTTTTTCCACACCCCCTGTACTTCGGTACGTGTGTACTTGCCAGAGGTACAAACCTTTGGCACCAAAAATGCCAACGGTACCTTCCCTGTACTGCAACCCCAACGGGGAACGCCGGGGCTTCTAGATTCCCGTTCTAGATTGAGGTGGAGGTCGACCAACCCCTGAACACACTAAAATCCTCCGCTAATCGCGTGCCCGCAACCTCGAGAGATTGGGAACTAGGAAAACATGGAGGGCGGGATGGTGCTCGCAGTGGTCGGATTTCCAGAGAGTCCACCAAGAGCTAGCGTTGCACCAAAAATTCAGTACTCGAGCGGCTTTCCGTCATTGTTTTCATCATCGAATGTAAAAGCCGCTAGTGATATCTCAATGAGTTGGGTTCAACGGTCTGCTATGACAACAGCACCATGAACAACGAACGCAATGTCGAACAAATCACTTACAGACACCAAGACTGGGCAAGTTATCCTGACCGGAAACCGGCATTGGAATTCATCTAGTGAAAGGCGGTAAGATCTCCCATTTCCACATCTCAGGGGACCAAGTGCCACAGCGGAGCGAAGGAGGGTCGACATCTCACAAGTGTTGCCGTTTCAGGTTAGATCACGGGACCACCGTGGAGGAAGTGAGGCCATCTCTCGCTTGTTGAGACCCTGAACTCGCCTGCTCGCCCACACAGAGCTCCATCTTTCTTGCCTCGTATTCTGCCGGCGTAAAACCGAGTAGGGCAGTCCAGTCGGTTAGAGAAGGAAAGATGAATGAGTGTGATGGGTTTAGGCGTGCTCAGACGTGCTCCTTGGGATACACTGCAGCAGTCGGTCAAAGCAGAGTTTAAAAGATCCATGGGTATGGAATGGGACCAAAAATGCTAGTGTGCCAGTCTTGCACGACAGCCAAGACCCGTCCTGCCGTCCCCGTCAACAACCCCACAGTTTCGTACCCCTCCCCACTCTTTGACTTCAGTTTCTCAGTACCGGTCGTCGCCAAGACCAAATTGAGAACAACTCTCCAAAAAGCAAAAAATTCCAAGGAGATGGCGCACCCACGGAACACCCACGGCAACACAATGAACGTGCCATTAGGAGGAAGTCTCAGGCTCCCAGGCACGCTGCACACCCAGGCATTCTTCGGTAAAAACCCTGATGGTCTGGTGACCTGTTGCGTACGATCCTAATCTTCGGATCCCCCCGAGTCCAAGAGACTTCAACCAGCTTTTAGTCGAGCTTTGCTTGTGAGCCGTCTCACCACTAGCCAGCAACCTGTCATCCCGTGTTTTCATATCCTGGGCAAGCACTAATATTACATATATTGCCCATCGGCCAGAGACAGTCGGTCTTTGGAGCAGTTCGATCCGATCCGGCACAAATCAGGTATGTGTTATGTATTTGTGGCTGTCTGCCGTTTCCATTCGTCGAAACTACCGTCTTACTACATATCTGCTGTGTGCCTTACTCTGCACAACAGACTGTGGTAAAAAAAAAAAAAAAAAAAAAGGTGGTGGTGGTGATGATGTCTGAAGTGGTAGCGGTACGCTTGGGATAGACGCGGGAGTACCTCCAGGGTAAGAGGTATCTATGCACACCCCGGTTCGAAGAAGGATGGAATTGCAAAAACTGGCAGGGACGGAAAGTGCTGGCTCACTGCTCAGTAAACATCCTCTTCTTTTGACGGTTTCTCCTTCCCAATCGCGGCAAGAAAATTGTTGTCATTTCCTTTTGTCTCTATGATTTACGTACTTTCCGAGGGGGGGTCTGAGGGGGGGTCGCTGCTGCGGCATGATTCAGTTCGCTGTCGATCCCTGTCCCATCTGATAGTCATTCTCGCAACCGCAACCATGCCCATTCAGGTTCGAAAAACCAGAATTCTTGGTTGCGTTGCACACAGCAATTGGAGAAGGATCCAAACCTACGTTTAGCTTCGGAGGTTCGCAAAGGGTTCACACTAGTGGAAGGGCTCAGCAGCAGTGCTGCCACATAAGGTAGCAGCATAGCTTGAACCACGGCATCTCTCGGTGTGAGTGGGCGAGCTGACGATCGACGGAGAACCACTCCAGATCAGACAAGTGCAGCAACCCAAACGCGCCAGCAAAAACTAGGTATGTAGTAGCACGAGAAGATCTCGACTCGCCTTCGCCCCCCCTTCGCCCGCCTCTTCGGTTGCTTGGCTCCCCTGGTCCTGTTCGTCCATCATCACTTGTCAAACCCTCGCAGGCTTCCCCATCCGTTACTCATCTGCTTCTTGTAATCCCCATCCACCCTTGGCCACCACCTGGCAGAGAGACCCGCCTGGACTTTGCCTCATCCCATCTCCGGTTTTCCTAGTGTTTTGGCTTCAACTTATCCGTCAGAACTCCTATCCATCCATCTCCGCCCTCCAGACGGCGTTTTGTTTAAAAGACCCCAAGCTCCCTCCTCTCTTGCTCCCTCCTCTTGTTCTTGACCAAGCAGTTTTGTTGTCGCTATTGAAGAGCCCTGGTACATTTGTTGTACCTTGACCCCCCCCCCCCCCTTTCGCCCACTGCTCATTCACTTTAATACCCAAACCTTTATCCCGTCTTTTTGCTCCCGCAGCGTTGTTCTCCTGTTGTTGTTTGTTTGAGAACCCTGAAAAGCTCCGCCAGTTCACTTCTCTTTTGCGTGATCATCTTGGTGAAGGTCCATTTATCTTCGGATTAGAACCTACACATCCAAGCTCGAAGCACGCACCTTCCTACAAAAGGGTCACCTTGCAACGAAATCTCCCACCTGGCAACTATCCAACCTCCGACTTAATTTCACCAAAGCAAATCATCAAAATGGCCGCTGCTACTCGCTCCGTCCGCATGGCTTCGCGCCTTGGCTCCCTCCCCCGTCCTTCGGCTCTCTTTGCCCAAAAGGCCTCGGTCACCCAGCGTGCCGCCTTCTCGGTCTCCATCCGCAACCTCAAGTCCGAGGTCGTCAAGGAGATGGAGGTCCCGGTCACCATCTACTCTTCCGACTCCAAGGGCGCCTCCTCCGCCAATACTGGCGATCATTTCAGCATTCCTGTAAAGCCTCGCCAGCAGGTCGAGGAGAGCGAACCTGATGAGTTTGTTAAGCCCTTGGAGGACAAGGTCTACCGTCAGATGCCCCGCACTCTTCAGAAGATGAGCGTCATGGGCAAGGTCATCATCATCACTGGGTAAGCCCTCTTTGTCTCCAGATCAGATCCTAGGTCGATTACTAACATTTTCCCAGTGGTGCCCGTGGTCTCGGTAACTACATGGCTCGCGCTTGCGCTGAGGCTGGTGCCAAGGCCATTGCTATCTTCGATGCCAACCAGGAGCTCGGAGACGAGTCTGCTGCCGAGCTTCATCAGAAGACTGGCCTTCCCGTCTCATTCTTCAAGGTGGACGTTCGTGATGGCAACGCCATCAATGCTGCCGTCCAGAACGTCGTTGACCTCTATGGCGCTCCGGACGTTCTCGTCAACTCGGCCGGTATCGCCGACTCGAACATCCCCGCTGAAAAGTACGATGCCGCTATGTTCCGCCGTCTCATCGACATCAACCTCAACGGTTCTTTCCTCATGTCCCAGGCTGTTGGCCGCGCTATGATGGACGCTGGAAAGCCCGGCTCCATCATTCTCGTTGCCTCCATGTCTGGCACCATTGTCAACTACCCCCAGGAGCAATCCTGCTACAATGCCTCCAAGGCCGGTGTCATCCAGCTCGGCAAGTCTCTCGCTGCCGAGTGGGCCAAGTACAACATCCGCGTGAACTGCATTTCCCCCGGTTACATGGATACCGCTCTTAACAAGGTCCCCGCCCTTGATGCCCAGAAGAAGATCTGGAAATCGCTCACTCCCCAGGAGCGTCTGGGTGCCGTCGATGACCTTAACGGTCTCTGCGTCTTCCTTGCTTCTGACGCCTCTAGCTTCATGACTGGTTCCAACGTCATCATCGACGGTGGTTACACCCTTTACTAAGCTGGTCGCTTCTCATGGGATTTTTGGCTTTGAGGGAATACCTTATAGACGGTTTCTGTTTTCGGCTTGATACCCAAGACTTTGTGTGCAGGCAAAATACAACTACTCATGCGGTTCCTGCCTACACCAAAAAAAGTCACGGACGGATTTTAGTTTTACGACAAGGACGACCACACCTTTCTCTCAGTTGGCATGGCGGTTTTTCTTTTTCTCTAATAGACGGACACCAACGGGTTTTCTCGCTTTTCATCAGCGCGCAGCGGGTTTGGCTTGCTGGAAATCTTCTTCGCATCGAAAAAGACACAGGAAAGACGGGATGGCGTTTGGGGACATGGATGAATGATATTTTACTTTTCCGCGATCTTTCCTCGAGTTGCTTTGGCTTTGTTTGCTCTGACGCTCAAAGAAAGGTCACAAAAGAACGGGGTGAACGGGGAAAGGGGCTCTCCCATGATCGAATCGAACATGGTCTCTTGATATGTAGATGATACGATATGATCTTTTTAGCATAACAATTATGACTGCTTATCAACTTATCTCAACCTATTCCCACTTTTTGCTCCGTGATGGTATCGTCATATGTCATGAGCTCGAACCCGTCCCGTCCCGCAACCGGGGACATGTCAAGTGAAATACGACCTAATAACGCAAGCCGCATTTCACTTGAAACAAAACAACGAAATACACCCACGAGCCCAGGGACCATTGTTGAACAGCAAATTGGTCCTTTGATCGTGGCCCGGCGGGCTTAGGTCCTTTGAGAAGTAGAGAGGGCTGACGTCACAAAGTGGATACCGCTTGTCGATAAGCAGTATCGATACGGTCTCCGTTCCAAAGACTACCTAGTTGTAGAGGCTCAGAAGAAAAAACGGAAATCCCGGGCAGTTGAACGGAGCAAAAGGAGCAAAGGAGCGAAAAGGAAAAGGGGAGACCAAGGGAATCAATGATGGCCAGCGGGCGGGACTTTGATGATATATAATTAGTTGATTAGTAGTGTTCTGACTTACTATCTGACGCACTCCCTTACTCTGCCGTCATTCTTCATATTGTACTTATATGGCGGGTGGGAGAAGAACGTCAACCAGCGCGCCTTGGGGGAAAGAAAGAAACTGGGGAGGCAAAATGGTTCACAGCTTAACAAGAGATTGTCTGGGCTAGGGAGAGGATAACGGTAGGATGGTCCTTTGGATGCACGTTGTGAACTACAAAGGATTTATTTGGTTTAGTTGACTGGCGGGTCCGACTGGGATAAGGCCACGCCAGACTTCGTCAGTTCGAGAGGTGGATGAGAACTATGGAAGTGAAGATCTGGTCGTAAGTAGAGAGAGATGCTGATGGTCATTGAGATGTTGGTATGAAGCAAGGCTCTTCGATGCAAACATATCAACCACATCAAGAAAGAGGAGAGAGACATCAGGTTCCAAGCCTCGACATTCACTTCAAGTGGTACGTACCACTTCCCTATCCTCCAGAAAGCCACCCTTCTTTGCTGTTTGTCCGCTTTTCCACCGCGTCCAACAAACCTATTTACCTACCTAGTTGACAAAAACGCACCATGATGAGACACACTTTCTCTAGCCCTTCGCCGAGAACATCTCGCCCCATCCATACATACCTGGGTTACAAGTCCAATTTCTTCTTCCATGTTGTTGTATAAATACCAGAACAATCATCATTAACCAAGAAAATAAATGGTCCCCCTCTTGACGCAATTCCTGATTTCCCAGCCAAAGTCCGTAATAAAACCATGAAGACCGAAGAAAGATAAAGAGCTCATTTATCTGTGTGTGCGTGTATCGAAAGGCCGAGAACCAGTAAACAGAAAGCATCAGTCGCGCTGCGGCTCGCTGTGCTATACCTTTACAACTTCGCTATGTCGCTATGTGCTCTGGCTTGCTTGCTCTGCATTCGTATTCCGTTCGCTCGCTGTGCAACGGATCGTATCTCTTTCCCCGTGTAAGATGTATGCGTGTATACGTGTGCGCTCCGGGCTCGCTCCATTCGTTGGGTGTCAAAAATATCCTTCGTTCGTAAAATAGAAGATAGAAAAAGTACCAAAAAGAATTTGGTGTGTTTAAGGATCGAAAGTACATGTGTTTTGTGTCGAGGTACCCATAGATCGCTCAAACCAAGAAAAAAATTCCAGCAGATGCAAAATCAAGATCTGGCCGGCCCATGTAAAGGTAGAGCTGAGATCATCGTGATCATGACCTAGCCCAATCCACAACCCTCTTTTGCTGAGGAGAGTTGCTTCAGAACCAAAAAGCAAAGAACATAAGGGGGATGCGAAACAATAACGCTCCAGGGGAATATCTCTCATGTGCGCGTGAGCAGCACAAAACGCCTAGAAGGATCATACACTACTGCCCTTTACGAGCCTTTTCTTGGGCTCTGGCCTCCCTCGCTGCTCGGACTAGGGGCGCCAGTGTTGATAGGTCGACGCACTTGTTCATGAAGTCGTGCTGTTACAATAGTCAGCCCGGGTTCCCGGAGAATATCATCATCAAAGTGAAACTGGCAACGAAAAGCAGGTGGAAAGCCGCAGATATGCGAGCCATTCCCCGAAACGGGGACGGATCAAGACTTACCCTTAGAAGATCATGAGCGCTGGCCCTCTTCTCCGGGTCTACCTTGAGGGCAAAGTAGAGGAAGTCGCGGAATACTGGCGAGAGCGATTGCTCATCCTTGATGTGTGGCGTGCCGTTGGTAGCAATGAGCCAAAGTGCTCGGAGAGGCGACTCGGTCAGATAGGGAGGTTCTCCTTCAATCATCTCGATGGCCATAATGCCCAGTGACCAGATATCCACCTTGCGGCCGTACTCTTTACGTGTCACGACCTCGGGCGCCATCCAATAAGGCGTGCCGACCATTGTCGTGCGCTTACTTTGAGCTTCATTGATTGTAGCACAGAATCCGAAATCAGCTATGGGGAAAGAACATGGGTTAGCAACCGGTCACAACACCAAACGTGCGTGTAAAGAGTGTAATTCCGAGATTCCCATAGGGGTCCGAAGGGAGAACTTACTGAGCTTGATATTGCCTTCCATGCTAAGTAGGATGTTGTCTGACTTGATATCTCTGTGGATGACACCCTTGGAGTGCAGGTGTTGAAGGCCCCTGAGAGTTTCTCGGCACACTGACGCGATCTGTCCTTCAGTCATGATGTTGAACGTGACGACATCCGTCAAGCTACCACCCTCCATGTACTCCATTACCACCCACAATTCTCCGGCACACAGGTAACTGTCAATAAAGTTGACAATGTTGGGGTGTGAGCTCTCCTTCATAACCAGGATCTCATTGATAATGAGATCCTTCTTCGGTTGCTGCTCAAGGTTCATTTGCTTGATGGCTACCAGTCTGTTGCTTCCCTTTCATGGCCAGTGTAAACACCACCAGAGGCACCTTGGCCAATCTTGGTAAACCCGCGATAAATCTCTCTCGGGTCACCGTCAGAGCATATTCTCTTGAGGGATGCCACCACATCAATCGCGTTGCTTTGCCGAGGTCTGTGACGAGGTCTTGCGCCAGCCTGGGGAACTGCGCCTTGGGCTTGTGGCATACGAGGAGCTCCATTGACGTCTGGCTGCCGGGGGTGTTGGTGTTGTGAGGTGGGCGGAGTAGGTTGTTGTCTCTTGCTCGCAGCTCGGCTCAATTGACCACTCATCGCTGCTTGGGCCTGGGCCATAGCCTGTTCTTGCTGGTGTTGCAACAATTGCTGCTGATAAGCCGCGGTCTGGTTCGCCGCCACGATCGGGAGCAGTGGAGAGGCCTGCACGGGAGAAAATGGAGCAGCCCCGTTTGTCCTGGAATTCGATCTCGACCTGTTCCTGTGCTCCTCCTGGTAAATATGCTGAACGTTATCCTTGGGAGGGAGGTATGGTATCGCGGGCTCTTCTCCGGGCGGTGGCATGCCAATTCCTGAATCCTTGGCTGGGTATGAAGTTGGGGGCACGAGCGGTCGTGTGGATATGTTTGCTGGTGGCTTCGGTGCCGGTCGGCTGGGAATTAGGTTGACATCCTTTGCTGGAAGCGGACCAGGACCCTTGGGTACCGGCGGTGGCGCACGGGGATTCTCAAAGCTGCCTTCATGACCAACTTGAGGAAACCGAGGACTAGCGGGTGGACTGATCATTGGCGACATGGGGCCATGAGTGTAGCCACCACCTGTTTGCAGTACGAGCGGAGTGGTGCCGGTCACTGGTGGGCTGCGGAAATCGGCCGCTCGTGCATCGTGGAACTTCTCTAGCTGTTGGTCTTCTTGTGGCTTTTCTGTCGTCTCCTTGTAGAAAGTGAGGACATCAACCAGTATCTGTGGGTGTTCTCTTCTGTCCTTCTCTGTGATTCCACTCTCGCTTATCAAACGCTGCCACTCTTTCGGCAAGCCCTATCGACGTGTTAGTATATCGATAACTTCCACGCAGTCGAACTCGCAGGTCAACTTACCGTGAATTGACCAGTGTTGCTGTCATAGCCGACATGTGTTACGTGGACGGGGTTCTCTGGCGCCGAAATTAATGGCTTCTTCGGAGACCCAACCAAGCTGTTCATGAAGCCGGAGAAGCCTGACTTCTTCCTTAACATGCCGGGAACCCTAGACTCTTTTCCATCGCCGGAGTGTCTCTTGTTACTCGAAGAACTGCTCTCTGATTTGGACGGCTTTTCGCTTGGTGGGAGTTGTTCAGCCGACGAAAAACTCGCCGACTGGCGGAATGACGACGCGCCCATGGTCTTGTTGGATTTGGTTGATTTGGGCGACTTTGTCGGTTTCGAGGATCTCACAGCCTTGGAGTCTGTGTTTGAGCGCGATAGAGTAAGCGGGGGAGGAGGAGGGGCGATGCGGCGAGGAGAGAGGTTGTTGAAGTGCGCAATCGTGTTCGTGGACGAGGGCGCGGACGCGGCTGATAACTTTGTCGCCTCGATTCGATTGAGAATGGCTTTGCCGTCGAATGGAGCGCCAATCAGTTCATCCGTGGATGATTTGTTTTGATCGAAGGATC